ACAAAGAAAAGGATGGATGGATGAGCGATGATAGATGATAGACGATAGACGATGGATGTGCATAAAAGTAAAAGTGAACATACCTAATAGTAATTAGACAGGCAGTTATATACCCAATGCATATATACCTTCACGTGAGGTTCAAAGTTTGATGATGTTCTTCTCAATGGATCGATAGCCGGAATATATAGGATGTGCTACTTGGAAGGCAGGCGCGTTGGAGGACATTCACCATCATATATCTGCTTAGAAAGAGCAAGAGGAAACCTCCAGAAGCCTAAAGTATCAAAATGAAGCGAGGTTTCGGAGAGTCGTGAGATGAATACCATTGATTTATATATAAGTCTCTTGATCATGCCTCATACGCCAGTGGCGCCTCTCCCGCCGCCAGGTTGCACTGCCGGAACAGCCGCACCTCATCCTTGCCAAACGCTCCAACCACAGAGTGGATGACTCCCCGATTGTTGAAAAGCACCAGATCGCCCTCCTCCCAGTCATGCGGATACACATGAGGGGGGCTGATCGCTGGGCGCTGCAGCTTGTACACAATCTCTCGCACGCGAGCCAGATCATCAATCACGGTGCCATCCTTGCGGTGGATTTTGCGCACCGCAGACGGGTGGATTTGAAGGGCAGGCTTGTCCGTCAAAGGGTTCTTCCATACCATGGGCAAGACTTGGATTTTGGATTCATCGATAGGAGGTAGGTCAGACAAAGGAAGTTCCTTGTCCTCGGAGTAGAGACCGAGACCGGTGGGAAGAGCACGAGCGGAGCTCATCCAGATGTAACTGTTCATGTCAGCAGACTTCACAATCATGGCAGGTCTAGCTAAACATACGGGTGGGGCGCATATTCCACGCGACTCGTAAGCGCAAACTGCTTGTCCTCGTCCGAGAGCATCTCAAACATTCTTTCGCCGCTGACAAATGCCGTCGTTCCCAAAGGCACATCCAGCGTCTCGTTCGATCCGTCGTCATACCGCAATGTCTGTCTGCGGCCCTTGGGGACGCGCACTGCCAATAACGTCGTAACATTCGGTGGGTAAAAATCATACAGGGCTGCATCGATGTGCCAGCGGTAGAAGCGGGTGAAATCATAGTCCTCCTCGTCCGGAATAGCATCGCGGTGGAATGTGCGATGGTGGGGGTGTTTCAGCTGAATATTGGTGAGGCCCTCGTAGGCTTCCACAAAACCATGGCCGATCACCTGGACCTGAGGCTGATGGGGAACAGTCTTGAGATCGGGATGCAGAATGCTCCGTTTCGCATCGAGGGTCTTGCCGTGGCCGTACTGCGAGGCGGCCGGGTCGAATCGACGGGTAAGCTCGTACTGTGCTTTTGGGGAGAGGTGGTGTTGGTTTTTCACCACCACCACGAGGTTCTCGTACAGTGCCCTGTGAATGACGCTGAAGTCGTCATCTAACAAGTATCAGCAGCGGTTCCAATGGCATGGCAATTGACTCATCCTACCAGTCAAGTTCTCGAGGTCGATATTCTCGACAATGGCTCCGAAATCAATGTCGGAACCCGGAGGAGGAGGTAGTGAGTGAACTGTAGGAGCCATTGTGCAAATCTCTCAGAAGCGATCCGGATTCTAGCACAATTGCGAGGAATGGACAATGGTTAAATAGCCGTCGCATTCCCCACGCCTCCATCGGCATCGGGCAGTCCCGGTCGCGGAAGAGGCCGATCGTTCTATCTTATCGCTGTCTTATCGCGCCTTATCAATCAGTCTCTCTTGGGCCATCAGCAAGGGCGAATCAATCATTGATTGGTTAAGGGATTGATCGACGGAATGAGAATAGCTTGTTTTAGTCATGGCTCCATATTAACTATGTCAGGCAACAGGCCAGGGAAGTCATGTGCTGTTAACGGGGCAACATTCGACAGTGATGGCCGACTAGGTCCGAAATTGCCATACGCGTCTGCTAAGGCGTGGTAATCATGAAGGAGTGAGATAATGCCTGGGAAACTCCTTTTTCTATGACCAAATCAGCATACAAGTCTTCATGTGTCCAGTATCTGAGGTTATATGGGATGTCTGGCTACCCCCGTGGTGTTTGTTCATTACCACAAGTGTGGTGCAAGACTGGCTTGCAAACACCAACTGCCTACGATCTAGATGTGACCCCCAATGGTCACCTCCATGACAGGGAGATGTCAGCCATGTCACACATACGCTCAGTCAGTCAATAATGCACACAGCTGAATATGGCCAGTCTTGTATGAGACCATGTGATGACACCCTTGGGGGCTCGCAAACCTCTACTCTTCCTGCCAAACGCCTACTACAGCCGTAGCCCATTCTTCAGGTTAATCCCGGCATCTGACTACCGACCCCATCGGACAATACAGTCCTCACAAGTATCACACTACGCGACGGCTGCCTCACGTACAGTGACCGATCACAATTTCCCACCACTCATCGCTGCACGCCCCGGGTAACCGGATAAGGTTCACTACAGGAATTGCGCGTCAGGCACGGGAAATATAGTGTGGCGCTCCTTGGGGAGAAGAAGCGTGCGGAAGTGCTGCAGGAACTATCACATTATCCCGCGCGCTACGGCAGTTCTTCCGTCGGAGATGCGAAGTGCCGTCCACAAGTACCAGGGAAATATTCCACCACAGAGATACCAGAGATACCCCAATGATACATGCAAGGAGTATAAAATGCGCACATTATGCCGGCCAAGAAACTCCAAGAGGAACCAAGAGAACCACTAAAAGCTTGTCTCAACTTTGATCTGTAGCGTCTTCAACATGGTGACTTCTAGTTCGGTGATCATCCTAACGCTCTGGGCGGCACTGGTCAGTGCGAGCCCCGTTGCCGATCCCCTGGTGACTCCCGCCCCTAAGCTCGATGATCTGGAGAAGCGCGCAACCTCGTGCACATTCTCCGGGTCCAAGGGGGCCTCGTCTGCCAGCAAGTCCAAGACCTCATGCTCCACCATTGTGCTCTCCGATGTGGCAGTGCCCTCAGGTACCACTTTGGATTTGACCGATCTGAATGATGGAACTCACGTAAGTTACTGTGCCTCGACGCGCGATTCTTAATTAACGTGGACAGGTCATCTTCGAAGGCGAAACCACATTTGGTTACGAGGAATGGAGCGGACCCCTTGTCTCCGTCTCCGGAACTGACATCACCGTCACCGGAGCCGACGGCGCCTATCTCAACGGTGACGGCAGTCGTTGGTGGGACGGCGAGGGCAGCAATGGTGGCAAGACGAAGCCTAAGTTCTTCTACGCCCATGATCTGACCTCGTCCACGATCAGCGGGATCTACATCCAGAACTCGCCCGTGCAGGTGTTCAGCATCGATGGATCGACCTATCTTACGATGGAGGACATCACCATTGACAACTCGGATGGCGATGATGGCGAGGCGGCTAACACTGATGGGTTCGACATCGGCGACAGCACGTATATTACCATCACGGGCGCAAATGTATACAACCAAGACGACTGTGTGGCAGTGAACTCAGGCGAGGTGGGTATACTCTCCTTCAATCTATGGATGTGGCACTGATGGAACAGAACATTTACTTCTCGGGCGGCGTCTGCTCCGGTGGCCACGGGCTGTCGATCGGTTCCGTTGGTGGTCGCAGTGACAACACCGTCAAGAACGTGACCTTCTACGACTCGGAGATCAAGAGCTCTCAGAACGGTAAGTTTCGTATTAAGGTTGTTGTTCTGTGTGATCACATGCTAAGCGACGAATAGGAGTGCGCATCAAGACTATTTACGGCGACACTGGGTCGGTCAGCGAGGTTACTTACAAGGAGATAACCCTGTCCGATATCACCGACTACGGCATTGTGGTGGAGCAGAACTATGACGATACGAGCGAATCCCCGACTGATGGCATTACCATTGAAGACTTTGTCCTGGACAATGTGCAGGGGAGTGTAGAGAGCTCGGGTACGAATATCTATATTGTCTGCGGATCGGACAGCTGCACGGACTGGACTTGGACGGATGTGGATGTTAGTGGAGGGAAGACCAGCTCTGATTGTGAGAACGTGCCGGACGATATTAGCTGTTAAATGTCGGTAGCGGTTGAGCAGCAAAGCTGAACTGCTTGGGAGTATTAGCAGATTGTGATGTCACAAAAGACGATGTTGGACTTGGGCTGCAAAGATAAACCCACGTTCGAGTCAATGGATGTCAGTCGATCATTGATAGATGCCGCTGTAACCCACTCAGGCAGATCTTCCCATCTGCAAGCCCTCTACCTACTTCTGACCACGGGTTACCCACGCAATCCCTCGTAGGCAGGGAACCATTTCCCCTGTTTCCCCTTCGAGATAAGCTTCATTGATTGGTAGGAATATAAGCCTCGGAAGTTCCAGGCAGCGCCGCACGTCACTGTCAACGGCAGCTCCTTAACGATGCAACACAAAATACAGGATATGAGCGCTTTAGTCTCTCATATGAGTACTTCCACTCAAAGCAGGTCCCTTCAATTCCCGAGAAAGGCTGAAGTACATAGTACTGATACCCGTCATACTCTCACGTTGCATGATTCCAACAACCCAACTAGGCTTTACACTTCCAGGTCTACAAACCCTGTCTGGGCAGACTCTGGCCAGGTTAAAATTTCCAATTCCCTGTCATAGGATAGTGCTCCCAACAGCTCTTCAAAAGGCCAGCCACCACATGGAACCACATCCCCGATTCGAACTCTCAACCCCAATCTATATCCCGATCAGGCATCACCTTAGAGGATCACTTACCATGATGTCATGTGGGATATTCCTCATCAAGGAATAATTCATTTTTCCTCCGCGTTTCCTCTGCATAATACTGGCAATGAACTCCGACGGTTTTCATGTATCATATCTTCTCGGGATTAGATCCTGCTTTCGCCCGAGTTAGAAACCTGTCGTGGGTTGGGGTACGGCTTCATATATAGACAACTATACTAGCTACTGACCCTTCCCCAAATATATCTTTCCTCATTACACCGTGCTGGAATATACATTAATACCAAACACTATAATGTCCCTCACTAACCTAGACACAACCAACCCAGCCACACCACCCACCGACCCCAACACCACAACTCTAACCCTACCCACCGACCACATCGACGACCTCCCGACCATCCCCTACACCCCACCCACAATCTACACCCGCCCCCTAGCCATCCTAGGCGCCGGCAACCTGGGCCGCCGCATCGCTTGCATCTTCTCCGCAGCGGGCCACACCGTCCACCTCCACGACCCAAGTCAAGGAGCCCTGCACTCCGCCCAACGTTACATAACCGAGAACCTCCCACACTATACGACCTTTCCCTTGATCTCTCGCCCAGCAGGCCAAATCCACCCCTTCTCCTCACCCGACATAACCCCCGCAGTCAGCGACGCGTGGCTCGTTATCGAATGCGTACCGGAACACCTTCCCCTGAAAATTGATATAATGGGCGAGTTGGACGCCAAAACACCGCGCGACTGCATTTTGGTCTCGAACTCATCGGCGTTTCGGACGAGTTTCATGGTGGAGAAGGTGTGTTGGGAGAGACGGAAGTTGATGTGTAATATGTGTTTTGGGGCGTCGCCGTGGATCCGGGCTGTCGAGTTGGGCGTGAATGAGGGGGTTACGGAGGGGGAGGTGGTTAGGGTGTTGACGTGGGTGTTGGATGATTGTGGGATGATGCCGGTGCAGACTAGTAGGGTTGGGAGAGATGGGGAGGGGGGGTTGGTGCGGAGTCAATGTTTGAATACTGTCAATTGAATTTACTTCGGCGATTATAGAAGGGGGGTGGGGTGGTAATGTGATGATAAACGTGATGGAAGTTTCATAAGAGTGGTGCGGTTAGCATAGAGGGAAAGAGTCTATGTTAGGGGTGGTTGATTGATTGAATTTCACTTCATTAATATACTAATGTATACTATAATGTTATCTATGGTATATGGATTAAGCACTCCTCCACTTGCTCCCCCGCCACTGCAGGATTACTGTAGGGATAAAGCTCACGCCCATCAGCAACGCCGTCACCACGCCAGAACTCTTTGCAATGCCCACAGTATCGAACATATCGGGGAACCTAATAACTGTTAGGAGGTAGTCAATTGCAATATACGTGGACGACATACCAGAATGGTCCAATGAACCCCCATGTAGACCTGATAAAGTTGATGAATACACCCACGCTCCCCGAATCAGTCGGATATGAATCAACGGCGTATGTGATCAAGACCGTAGTGACGACCTGGTTCCCGAAGGCACCAATCCCTGTGCCGATGATTGGGCTGACACTCCATTTCCCGGTCTGTGCGTTCTCCGTGCAGACCAGGAACACCACCACCCCCGCAATAGTAAGCAAGTACCCGATATAGCTAAGCCACAGACGGTACTCGGGATCGGGCTTGTGACCGGTCCGCTTTGCGCGGAGATTCATCCAAGTGTCCGACAGAACACCACCGAGCTGTTCACCCAGCAGCGAACCGATAATGAGACCCAGGAATTGCAACCCAAGTTGTTCAGCGTTGAGCTCAAACTTCGACTGTAGCAGTTGGGGCACCTCGACGGAATTCATGACGGACGCGAAGAGGAAGACCATGGCGTAGGCGGCAGAGGCGATGAGGACGGGAATGTTAGTGATGAGTGTGAGGGGATGGTAGAACTCGGCGAGTTGGAAGGGGGTGGGGTCGATGCGTCGAATGGAGAGGTATTGGTGCTTGAAGGCCGAGGAGGCGTGCATGTCGGTGCCGATGTATCGTGTTTCGGGGCCGAAGAATATGTAGAGGATGAATTGGACGGCGTTGGTCTAGAAAGTCCATGGTTAATTTTAGTCCCCCTACAGGTTGCAGCACCGATGCTTACAATAGCCAGAGTCCAGTAAATCCACTGGTACCCTACACGTTGGGCCACGAATCCGAAAATCAAAGGGCCCACAGGCACTCCCAGAGTGACCATCACCGCCCAGATACCCATATATTGTGCTCTTTCGCGCTTAAAGAATGTCTCCGTGACAACAGCACTGCCAATCGCCATAGCCGGGGAGATGAAAAAGGCCACCAGGGCACGACATGCTGCCATGGACGCATAATCCGGGCTCTTAGCACAGCCAATGTTGCAGACGCAGCTGAGGCTCAAGGAGAGGAGGAAGATAGGACGGCGTCCGTAGCGCTGGGAAAGTGGCTTCCAGAAAAGAGGAGCACCACCGAGAATGGCGATTTGGAGGGAGGTCAGATAGCTTGTTCGCTGCAGAGAGACACCCACATCTTCGGCAATTTCTTCATAGGCTGGGATGACGGCTGCGGCGGTAAAGGTGCCCATACAGGCGTGGAAGGCGACTAGAAGGAGATTGATGATTTTCTGACACGTCAGTTACAGTTAACAATGTCGACGGAGCAGTATTTCCTCACCTTCAGGAGGGGCCAATTGTACGGATCCGCAGGGTCCATACTAGGGACCGGATCCAGATCTAACGTGCCATGTCGCTGTAGCAGGTATGCCTTGTGCGGCTCCGAAAGGGTACTCCCAGGCAATTCCGTGGCCAGATCGCCCAATTCGGTCTTTTCAATGTAGTCCGATTGCGACTTGGAGGAGTCTTCGAGCGACATGCTGGACATTGGACGGCTAGATGGGGTGCTGCAGGGTGGCACGATGCGTTTGAGAGACAGGCTTCACGATCGTACGATAGCCACGAGGAGCAGCAGGCAACTGGGGATTTAACCCACCCCACCAGGGGGGCCCAAGTCGATCGGGGAGGACTTGTCCGGAAGCGCGAGTGGATTCATGGCCGCGTGTTTGCTGGCTGGCGCGTTTGATGAGGATCAATGATAAGGGACCAGCCTAAGGCAGACTAGTCCGGGGAGAATGTTGGGGTAGCGCGGGGTCCCCGGAGTGTCAACCAATGTGAGGGCTCCATCTGGTGGATCGGCGGTAGTTGACTGCCCTCCATCACTGCCGGTCTCCTGCGTCTGGCCCGTCTGTCAGCGGCGCTCCTGTCCATTATATAAGGGTCCAGCTGCTGCTATTGCTGCTGCTCCTGCATCCCGAACCGAGGCCCCCAGCTGTCAATTGCCGATGCTCGTTCCGTGATTCGCTTGACTTGTGAGCTATCCTCTCTGCCAACGCCATGGCACCCAGCTGGACCAACGAGCTTCTCGGTATTGATTGAGAAGGATTGCCATGTGAAAAATTGATCTCCCCGCAGCATGGCTAGGCAGAAGAGTGACTAAGATACTACAAATTATCCCCTCACACAGAGTGCATCTCGCACTCACTCCGATGGCAACATTCCCCATCATCACAACACACCCCACTATCTCCACTACAGTTGTTGTGTGTGATGCTGAGAAATTACAGTGTACTATAATTCAGATCTGTCTCCCTGTTTTAGCGTATGCCCCCCATGACACTAGTCGTCCATATGGCATACTTGACGATTCTTGTCAGGATGGGGCTGAAAAGCCAGGCTCCTCCTGTTCTAGAACCCTAGGATTAGCCACGTGTTTTGTGTAGCCATAACCAAACCCATGTGTACCGATACTATTATCAGTGCACGTAGAATGTGAAGCGAACGTGGCATCACTTGTCCATGGTAACACGGAATTTTGCTCGTAGCTACGGCATGTGCCTTCCGTCTGTGGGGGTATATCCGGGGCCATGCATGAGCTATGTTAAAGTTTTGTTAGTCGTGTTCATAAAAAAGACCGATAATGGAATAAAGCGGCGAACCGTTGCGAAGGTGCTTAAGTATTTAGTGTTCCTGTATCAGGTATATCCGGTCGGTTTACGCCATCGCGCCCACATTGAAATGGTATATGTTAACTAATTGACAGTGGTCCTTCTTTTAATTGAGATCCTGGAGTAACTTGTCAAATGAAGGTATTCGAAAATATTCTCAGCATTGAATCAGAGAGAAGACATTAAGATCAGACTACTCTATTATGTGATGACAAGTTACTGAGACGAGGATAGTACTTCAGGAAGAGCATAAGCTGTTAGAGTTGAAATCATGACTCAATGTCGATAAAACGATCTGCCTGAGCGATCGGGAATCTCCTTCGTAGAGTTGTGGGATTTACAACAGGCGTCAGAAAGTGCACGATGGGCGGGAATGATGCCTATCAACTACGCTTCTCCTTGATGATATTATGGGTGAACGAAGGAATAACTGTTTCAGGCCACGAAGGGTTCACGACATACCGAGCGAGATCTGGGACAAACCTTCTATATTGGTCGTCGAGACCGGTACCTGCCACTTTCAGGGTAATGGTGAGTATAGAACTCACAAAACATCACGCCCATAATCTATACCCCAAGAGAAATCATTACCTGAAGAGGCATATCCCTACATGGCTTGACCATCTTTTCTTCCTAAAGCCACGCTCCTTTTTCCTTTGACACATTCTTTGAATATAGTATAGTTGTCCCTGTCGGAGCAAGTGAATAGTAAATATAATGGTAATTCCTATGCCACCCGTTTCATTCTTCTTAAATAGTGCCTCATCAGCAACTCCAGGAACTTTGGCCATCCTCCTCATCACACTCATCGCAGTCATCATCAACATAATCGGCCTACTTCGCTAATACACACTCGACAAAATAAATGCTCACTATGGCCGGATCTACCTTTCCACCTTCACCACCTTCACCTAATACGGGAGCATCCAGGCTCGATGCTAGCGCCAGAGAATTAGTGGAAAAGACATTTGGTATCACCGTTGACGGAGTTGAGCGCGCTCCCATTCTTGACTACAACGCAAATACCATCTCATATGAAGTCTACTTCCTCCACACTATGTGGAACATACGCGATACTCCTAAACAGCCTGGAGTGGCACGCATGCCATCAGGAACGAAACAAGTAATAATACAGTTCAAGATCCCTGAGCAAAATATGGACAAGAGGCGCTGGGCGGAGAACAAGGTCGCTGCTATGTACACAGCGCGAACTATTCTTTACAACACCGTCTTTCTCCGCACTGTACCGGAGGTATATGCATGGAGCGATGGAAGCGATGATGAACATAACAAGGCATGGATTATCCATAGTTCTCATCCACCCGGGGATGCCCCACTCAGTCAGTCGTTTTATCGAATGTCCTCGGAACACCAGGTTGAACTATTGGGACAGATTGCAACTCTACACAAGCTCTTTCAAGACTACGATCACATGGCTATTTGTCAGGGATACGGGGGTTTCGGATTTTCAGAGGAAGGATATGTTCGCTCTGGCGAGGCTCTTATGAACGGCGTCGGGGGTCCGTTTGGCAACCTAGGGAGTTATCTCACAGAGCTATTGCGGCGAGATTTGAGAAGGGCGGAAAGGCGACCAGATATCGATGGCTGGAGAAGGAGCCCAGAGTTAAGAAGGAAGCTTGAGGCATTCGTTGAGCAGTCTGTTACAGATGTAGTGGCTGAGATACCCGAGTATCGCCCAACATTCACCCTGAACAGGATCGGTAAGCATTTCTCTGAGCCATAACCAATACCTGAACCCTTCAGCTAACATGACATTCAAGAACTTGGAAACTTTCTCATCTCAGAAAGACCAGACCAAACACCGATCATATCCTACATCCTCAACTGGAATTATGCTTCTCTCGGCCATCCCCTGGAGGAGTTCGTCTACTCTTACAACAGCCTACATGGCGCGCTACTATTTCCCATGGATAAGGATAGCCGTGTCATGTCCCGATGCATTCTGGAAGGATTTCCAGATGGAGACGTGGACGTCGATCTGAGAGATCTAGATAACTATGCATACTACAACGACGGCATGGGTGCGCAATGCCACTATAACATAGCGAAGAATTTATACGAGGCCTTGCACATAGCAGAGGTAGACAGGCCTCAAGATATGGAAGGAGCGGAGACGTTGGTTGCATTTTTTGGCTTCTGTGCAGCGGTCGGAGGGCGAGGATTGTACCGTGATGATCCAGCTGCCAATGCGGACCCGGATGCAGTGTACAAGAGCAAAGCTAAACTGGTCAAGGACTACTTGAAGCTCCTTGGTTACCGGTAGTTATATATTTTGGATAGAATCAGCAACGTGGTAGTATAAGACGTATGGATGGTGGCATTGGGAATTCTCACTCTGGCACTTACAACCATTGAATAGTATTATATACTATCCTCAACAACAATTTTGTCCATAATGTAATTTCCTCATTTATGTTGCGCTGGGCTATTCTCGATCTGAAACCCCCATACAGGCCATAAAAGACACCACTCCTAGAACGAGTACATCGCACACCCAGGAAGCTTGCCTCACGCGACATAGTCACCCTCCAAATCCCGAAACCCACGAAAGAACGGCAAACTGGAAAAGAGCGTCTCATCATAAAAATCGGAGTCCCAAGAGCGGCCCAGATCCAGCGGCAAAGAACCCGAAAACACATCCATCAAATCAGTATCCACGTTGACTGGCTGTAAAAAACCGTCGGAATTTGCAGGCGCGCCAGCTGCGTACTCCTGGAGAGTGGTATATTCGTCCTCTTGGATGGCACTACCCTGGCGCAACTCGGGAGTAACCTTCCCATGACACCATAGGTGGCCTAGTAATTTTGCGTAGCGATGGGAGATATGCGTTTGGCTTGTAGCGGCAGCTTTGAGCATGGAAATGAATTGTCGGGTTAAGTTGAAGTATGTTTGGGATTCGTCGGGAGGGATGGCTCCGACGGAGTGGGCTTTGAAGAGGAAGACGGAGGCATAGATTTCGTAGCTAGATTGTTAGTGGATTGTCATCTGGAGGAGTAAGGGGGAAGACTTACAGGTAATACCGGACAGGGAGGAACTTCACAATGTCGGGTGGTGTTATCTCTTCCACGAATGTTTGGAGTAAATCTCTGGCTGCGCTGATGGCTGCGTAGATGTGGCGAGCATCGGCACTGGCCATGACGCCGTCTGGGAATAAGGGTGCATTGTCGTCATGGCTCATATTGGTGAGAGATTTAGAGGAGCGATATAGAACTGCTTGGAATGCAAAAGCGTTGACATATAGTTGTAAGTACTGATATTGTAGGGTGAGGAGACAGCGCAGAGACGGGGGAATGTCGACGTTTGACCAGGTTCCCTTCCACATCTCCATTGCTTTGGCGGAATCGTCGAGGTATTTGGGATAGTCGCCAACAAGCATTATCTGTAGGGTGCGCGACTTTGATGCGTACAGAATGTCGTGGGTGTTTCCAAAGATAGTTGTTAGTTCTACTTGAGCCTGGACGAAGGATGCGTAATCCGTTCCGCCAGTGATTTCCGGTTGGAGGGATGGGTAATCTTGGGTGCTGAACCTGGTTGATAGACTAGGTCCGCGGGACCAGAATGCTTGGCCCATTTGGATTGATATTTGCCGGTCGGCGAGATAAGTAACTAGCAGAGTTAGTGGTTTGTTATGATCCCCTATGATGCGGGATCGCATACATATCCACGCCAGTCGTCTCCGGCAGCGCATACTAAGTGGCTCGGATGCGACCTCGAACGGAAAGGATTGTGTATCTAAATGTAATAGATATGCCTGTCTGACTGCAAGGCCTATCAGATTCCATGCTACGCAGTCTTCGTCATATGCATTGCTCTGCTCAGAGTTGTTGCTGTAGGGCTGAACCTGGGAAAGCATCAGATGTGGCATCCACTCAGCTAGAAGTAGCAACCCTTCAACAGTTCCAACATTTCGCACGCTCCGAGCACCAAGGGTGACACGGAGGATAAGTTTATCGATATACCCCCTGATCCGGGTGTGAAGATGTTTCTGATCCGGCCTGTTCTGAGTGGCTATTGTAAGGATGGAGGTAAGGAGAAACGTCTCAGTAGCCCACTGGTGCTCGGGGACTTCTGTGTATAATAGACTGCTGGACACGATAGGAAAATAAGGATGGTAATTCATGGTATAGCTTGTTGTATCCTATGTGTTAGTGCAGGCACTACCAGCCATGGAAGCGGGACATACTAGTGCACCAGGGGTTCAAGGTCGACTACGTCGATGACTCCCTCCTTAACGATCTCTGTGGCCATTATGGATGCCTTGGGCTGGTCGCCAGGCTTATGACGCACACGCTTCACCACCTCATGTCCTGAGTCATCTGATCCTTGAGGGGCCTTCTCGGGCAAAGGTATGCTGTCATCTTCCCCCGCGGTGGCGGCTGTCCGAGCAAGGATTTGAAGAGCTTCTAAGGGATTCCGGACACCCCCACGGAAGAGGGTATCAGTGTCCACGCCCACGGTTTCCGCCTCCAAGGTATTCGGTTGTAGTTCTGTCTTGGTTTCAATCTGCTCACTGGATCTCGGGGCCTGCATCTCGGTGTTTCCCCAACGACGACCCCGAAACTGAGAGTAGTCACCTCCTCTTCGGGAGGTGGCTGGTAGGCATTGGTGGCCTTCCAGGTTGCACTTTGAGCATGGTGTATGGGTCCCCCCTCCCGTATACTTCCTGGGATGGTGGATATGAGAAGCCATGAAAGGTGTGGGATATGGGCAGTACCTACAGATCACATTTGGTTTTCCGTTGTCGACAACGAAGACATGCCCGGTAGAGCCTCGCGCCGGTACTTCGAGTCATGACCGTTGGACGGATTAATTGAATTCAGCTCAGGGACAGAATGGGGATGAGAGAGGCGTTGGCTGTAGAAGTGCGGGACAGATGCGGGGTTCACCGGGGTCGGCAATAGACGGCTGTAGGTCTGTTGGTCTCGTCGAGCAATGGCTGGCCCTATATCAAGGAGAACTCATCCATGCCATCGACCCTACTTTCTATCTGATACAATCATTCTCTTTAATCAACCAACCCATTCTATCTGACTGAGTCGAATTGCATCCATCATCAGTTGTCCTTTTACCCCTGCTACAAGATGTCAACCACGACTCTTTGTGAATCTGAGGTCTTTACCTCCGCTCGTCTCGTAGCAAGCGATTGCAAATTGCCTCCAGATGACAGATACGGAGAATACCATCCTACAGATCCCAAGAATCTCAAGCTCGAATCCAATTTTGGGCCCATGCTGCCGGAGAAGATTGGATACCTCCAACCCACATCGAAAGGCACGCCCATTGAGGTCATGCGGGAGAGACTTATTCGAGATGGGTATTTATTCGTAAGTCCCTCGTTTTAATTATCAGGGCTCCCATACCAATACAGTCTTAGGTCAAGAATCTGCTCCCACGGTACCAAGTACTGGAATGCCGCAGGAGCTATTTCTCCTACATGGAGTCCTCTGGTCTTCTCAGAGAAGGAACAGACCCCATCGATGGAATCTTCAGTGACAAAGATAGTCGCAAGTACTTACCGCCGGGAAACCTGCGGCGACTTTTCGGCCTGAAGAATGACTATGAGTCGGATAAGTATGTGGAGCTGATGATCAAGGCGCACGAAGAGAGATTTTATCTTCAACTGTGCGAGAGTACCGAGCTACGTGACTTCATCCGCAAACTCACGGAATGGAAAGACATCACGATGCTGCAGCGGACAATGCTTCGTGCCTTTGTGCCCGATAGCGAGTTGACTCCTGTTCACTTCGATCAAATGTACCTTCGTGCGGGTCCGCCCACCAGCCTTACAGCGTGGGTCCCGATCGGAGATGTTTCGCTTGAGGGTAGCGGGCTGATGTACCTTGAGAAATCGGTCGATATCGGTCGACAGACCGAGGAAGAATTCGCACGGAATGCAGCAAATCTGACTGATGAGGAGCGTGTCTCGGCGTTCAATAAGAACATGAATGATGGGGGGTTTCTCAGTCGTGATACAGTCGCGTATGGCGAAAACGCCAAGCGTAAGTGGTTGATCACCGAATATGAAGCTGGGGATGTGATCTTCCACGACCCTTTCCTGGTGCATGCTAGCTGCAAGAACAAGGACCCTGAAAGGAGGATTCGGCTCGCTACCGATCTCAGATTCGTGAATTCAAATGAGCCGTATGACAAGGTATGTTCCGGAGGCATAAATCCCACGGAACAATGACTGACGTGACTGTAGCGCTGGATGAAGGTCTGGCGTCCGCTCGACGGGCTGTGATGGTTATCGAAAGCATTACGTTTGGTGGTGAAGCTGAGAGGCTTCCTGTACTTGTTCTTCCATGATTATTCCCTTCAGAGAATAGCCGTAGCATCTGCATATCTCACGATATTTCCTTGTATCACAATTTCATTCTAGAGACGGCATATCGTAGCGTAACCAAGTCCCGCCATAAGACCATTACTCCCACTCCCTCGTAAGCGTATTCTCTTCTATCTCCCTATCAAAGTCCACCAAATGGGTCGAATGACACCAAGGCTTGATCGCCTCTTCCTTCCTAATCACCCCCGAGAAGAATTCACACCACTTCAACCGCGGATACGCCTCATTTATCTGTTTGCGAGTTGTCTGATGAACCAAGCCCTCAAAACACTTCACATGCGGATGAACTCCTGTATTATCATATGTCGTAGCCAATTGAATAAGCTGGCCGAAATATGTAATCGTTCCATCGACGCCCATATCCTGATGTCGAATGATCGCCTCCGCAACGGCCTCGGCCTGGTCCGCAGTGGCACCAAACTCCTTCAGCACATGGAGGGCCTTGATACCGCCGTAGATATCGAATGACATGCGGGTTGCCGTTAGGTTTTCCTCAGCAGTGCCGATGTCGTGGAGGAGGCAGGTTAGAGCCCAGGTGGCTGTGTTGAGGGATGCTGCTATTTCGGGGAATTGCTGGGTGGTGATTACCATTCCTGCCGTTATATGACGTAGTGAGTATATACACTTTGATGTGTTGACTATAGACATACCGTAGAAGTAGACCCTCATGGAATGGTTCAATGTCTGGGGGTGAAGAACAGCCCTGGCGTATTCCCAGGTCTTTGAAACAACAGGATCGTCGAAGGGAAATATGATTGTATCGAGCTGCATGACTTCTGCCCTTTCGATGAAGGATTGGTCCGTAAATATGGCACCGGCATTGGCGGGCATGCTGGACCAGCCGTTGGCTTTTATTTCGTCGTTGCACATTTCGTTTAGTTATAGGAGATGATGATGGCTTAGTGCTAGGCGGAGTAGAAGAAGAGTAGCTGTCCTGTTTGAAGAGCTGTTCATTTCAATAGCGGAATGTCGAAAAAGACCTTTATATATCCTACAGCGCAGGGCTGGATTATTGTATCCTGCTCAGACCCCGCTGATATTTTCGTCATCTCGTCGTCGCGATTTAACTCCTTTGGGTAGTATTTCGACGTGGCGTCCTGCTGGTTTATCTGGTTCACAATGTTGCAGGCCTGGAGCAGCGGAATCGACGCGCCCAGGCCACTGATTTGGATTACTCAATTAGGTAGTCTTTTGGAGTGGGGCTTCCATAATGTAACCAATGGCAAGATAAATATCCGTCAGCGGGTCATGTCGCGCTGTCCGATTATCTTTCCATTATCTCCATCACTGTGATCATATTCTTGAAGGCACAAGACGCTTTCTTCTAGCGTTTGTTGACCATCAGTGTCCAAAATGGCATGGCTTCTACGGCCACTCTTTTCCTCTTGCGGGCAAATTGTGTACAAATCCTGGATATTTATTCAATAATGTCCCAAGTCCCCGTCCTTCCTTAGATATTAGTAGTATTTTAATATACTATAAAATTATAGCTATTCTAAACAACATAAGCTTATTCTTTAAATAAATAATTATTATTATACCTGTCCACGACCACGCAGCTGTAATAAATTATTTTATATTTAATAATATCTAGTAAATCTTTTATAATTATATAATACTCTTTACAGTTTACACAGAAGATAATATAGATAATATAGATTAAATCAAAAAGAATGTGTGATAGGATCTACTTGTCAGGGTAGAAGGCCTGTCAACTAGGTAAGGAGTCAATCACTAAACACCATGGATTCGTCTAATAATGACAAAGGTAGCTGTTATGGGACCAAGGCCCTGATATAAAGCTCGGCTTCAGGCACCAACTAATAGCGCTAGCCCAGCACACACACTTAAAAGAATTTCGTACGAACAGACAAAATAGCTCTTCAGCTATTTCTTCTTGTTCAAGGCACGTTCCGATTAGCACAATCCATCCGTCCCGTAACATATACTATAATGAATTCATTTATATTTAAGATTAATCTGACTGTCTGACATGATCTTCTAGCATTCTAAAATAAATAATCAAGCTTACCGAGCCCTCAGAGCTTATTTAGAAATAAGAAAATTTAAGAATACTTAATCTGAAGTCTGGTTTAAAACTTAATAGACAAGTCTAGATTAGTAGCTTCTAACCCGCAAGTCTTAATTAACAGGATCTAACTCGGCCCGGGTATGAGCAGGCCCGGGCGAGCCCTGCCATGTCTACCTTGGATTGATTTAGAGATTGAAGCCTGTATCTGTTTTGGTGTACTACTCGCCAGTTCAAGCCTGTGTCTGTTTCAGTGTACTGCTCGCCAGTTTTCAAATCTGTGTTAAACTTCTTCTGAGTGGGACATAGTCTATAGGTGGCTGTGTCAAACAACAGTACCGGTATTTGTGTTCCTCAAGCTGGTAGGAAGTGGTGCAACAGTCTCACCAGGGATCCCTGCAAGCGAGAAGTACCTTAATACCAGCCATCCTAGGCACTTGCGAGTACATTTACCCCAGTTATTCTCCAATCCTGTGACTACAGTCTTACCTCTCTCCCAGTTAAGTCTCATCATATTAGATCTTCAAGTGGTAACTGGAAGTGATCACACATCGCAGAAGACCCTGTCAACCTCATCTTATACACTACTCAAGAGATCAGCGATCAGGATACCAGCTCAGAGATTATCATGTGCTGCTTCTTGTTACAATAAGGGTCCTTCCGATCCCCTATTCGCATCTCGTCTGCTCGAATACTCAATTCCGCTTGACCGGAGTTCAATTCCGCAGCTCTCAGATTGGATATACTTTCGATGGCATTCAATCGGGTAATTTCTAGAGCATTAGCACCACCAGTCCCTCAACCTTTCCTCAGTCCAGTCCATCGGGTACTATAGACCATCATTATTGTATGTGAGTCAAAAATATCTAAATTCGAAGCATAGCGGAACACTTCTGTGGTAAATGGGTCAAAGAAATAACAGGCTCAATTGTCTAATGAAAGACAATCGATAGAATAAATGGTGGGGTGTGGACCCTAATTATTTATTTATATCTATGCTCTTTAGACTTCGGATTAGTTTATGAAGAATCTGAGATTCTCAAACAATCGCAGTGTGGGCCGAATGAAAATGACTTCAAAAGATTACATGTGTTCACCGTGGTGTAAGTCCACCCGAGATAGGACAACGCAAACAGTGAACAGCCGCTATAGTTTCCCTATGCAAGGATAAACTGATGACAATTCCCTTACAGGAGTGGGAGCTTCAATACTTGCACAACACCAACATCCCATAACTGACTACATCTAATTAGTCTTGGGCTTGGGTCTCCCCCATCGAGCTTACCCCGTACAAGTATGAGGGGATCTTAACATCCGCTCCCTATGCGCGGGAATTGTCTCCATATTTGCCTTGCCTTATATATAATCCCCTCTGCTGGCACAGCTGGAAGCCTGGTCATGCCAGTTGCTCTCTCCCGGTCTTAGGTAGTGCGAGGTCTATACTGGGTCAGCAGCTGAGTGGCTGATAGACGCGTTCAAGATTCTCGTTATAGAGACCAGTGGATATGGAATCGGAAGACACGATATACCCTTATCAAGAAGACATCAACTTCACCTTCCTAACAATATCCAGAGGACCCCGAGGCCTGTTTACTTGGCTGGCCTGCTGCTAGCGAATAATTGTTTACCCTGCTGTCATCGGAGACGCGAGACGGGGTGTGACGGGTGTGGAGATGACGGGTTCTGGAGACGGTCCAATGAATTTGACTTTCGTTCAGTACGATATGATCACGCTCCTTATAAGTACTCGACGTAAGTTTGTTGAGTACAAGTTAGGGAAGTTGTACCGTGCAGAAGACAACTGAGCACCGGCATCAAGCTGTCAAACCCCATTCAACAGCCCGCCAGTCACCAGCACGAGATCAAGGCATTCTTTACCTTACAGCCAGGCAAGGCAAACCGGCAGTCAAGAGTATTAGTACTAGTCACTAACTGACATACATAAAAAACAGCATTCCAGAATTCCAAAACCAGCGCAGATAATTTAGCTCCCGCATTTGCGTGACGGAGGGGGAAAACCAAGGATGGAAAGAAAAACCCCACCAGAGCAGCACATATATGTCAAATCAACGTAAATCACGAAGGCTGTCCTCCAATGCCTCTTGCAGCTGAATGGCCTCTGCCCGGCGCCTACTCAACTTAGGTGATTCAGCAGCCAATTGGACAAGATCTTCATCCGAAATGGTAGTGACAGTCATTGGATTGAAAACAGCTGGGAGCTTTGCTAAGATATGTCTCTCAATGACTTGGCGACACACATTGTCAACAAAGGTCTTCATAGCAACCTATCCTGCGGTCAATGCAAGTAGTTCATTTGGGCGATAAAAATACGAACCTTATAATATGCATCCAAATCAATTTGAGCTTCGTAGCAAGCCCGCTCCTCCATATCGACGATGACACCATGGTTTTGCAAAGAGGCCACAAGCCGACTGATGTCATCAGATGAGTTGCTTACATGAAATCGACCGTTCCAGTCTTCGTTGATAGCATTATTGAGCGAAATGCTAAGGTCTTGCCTCGAACGGCTGTTACGCGCCCTTTGCACGTTATCCGTATAGTAATGGTTGTATGTGATAGGACATCCGGCCTCATCATCCAACAACTTGCTCAGTTCACGGAATGCGCATTCAGAATTATCTTCCAGTTTGGCGACAATGATGCGCTTTAAAATATTCTCCCGAGCACTGGGATCCTTTATTACAAATTCCGAGGCCGCCTGGATGAATCGAGACACAAGACCTGTAATGGTAGTGACATGATCGCGGGCGATGTCGGCCCAGCGAGATGACTGCTCATGGAATAATTCACCAAGTAGCGCATGGTTATAATTCCCAGGAAGTTCTCGGCCACGGGTGCGATCATAAATCTGTGGCGGTAAGCTGGGTGACATTCAATTATGACCATGTCCTCACCTTTCTGATCCACGCTGACATTTGTTCCTTACTTACGAACATCTGGCCGGTGTCCGGATCCATATCTTCCTGATCATTCGCCGAAACAATTTTACGTTTTTGCCCATGCTGTCTCATATAGTTGGCAAACTGCCCATTTTCCATGTGGATAGCGGCTCGAAGGCGATGATAGTCTCTTTCGCCGTTAATTTCATGGAAGAACCCGTCTCGTGTGCCATAGATCCCGTCAACCCCAGCCCTCACAAGGTTTTGGAAGTCAGTACCAATGCGAATCAGGTAGATACGTATCTGCGCAGGCGACGTTCTTTGAGTCCCGAGATCCATGAGTTCCGTATTGATCTCATTGAGCAGTTGAGCCACATCCTTTCGAACCTTCGGCAGTTCGCGCTCAATGTGTCGATCAAGGAGGTCTTGCATGAAGACCCGAAGGTTATCTATGCCGACACGCGAAGGATCGAGTCCAAGCTTGTTCCAAGGCTGATTGGCAAAGAAGTCCGCTTCCATCTTCCGACGCTCAGCCATAGTTATGCCCTTCTCCAAATCAATGGGGCGAGGGTTTCTCAGAAGGAAGAACCCGAGTTTCAGTTTCGTCTTGTCAACATTGTTGGCTAATTTTGCAATCCGGGCCTCGGTGCCGTTATTGATAAGATCTGGTTTGGTGATGATTCCAACAGTCCGGAGGCCATCTTTGTCAAAACGCCGAGCTCTTTGAATGATGCTCTGGGTATCCACGTCGCTGCTTGCGGGGACCACGGCAAGGATAATTGTCCGGGTGTTCTCCAAATATGAGTTCACGAGATCGTTGACAAGCTGCAGGTCTTCCTCATTTTCAGATACCGAGATCAACCCAGGTAAGTCAACAAGGGTCAGATGCAGGCCAGTATCCCCAACGACTTCCAATCGAAGTACATCAGCGGTAAACGTCGGCGCATCAACTAACTCATTGGCTCCTTGAATACCCATGAGCTTTGCTGCTTCATCGATAATGCCTGGCAATTGCGCGAGGTCAGCGACCTCGCGGTGAAAGGCGCTCAACCTAGCCCTCTCATCTTCCGGGCGGGAAATGTGAGGGATAATAGTTGCGGTGTTCCGACGATATTTGGGTTCGTGGCGAAGAATTATCTCCGTGGCAAACCGAGTACAAACTCCATCCTGCCGAGGAAAAGGTATACCACTGATTCCCTGTAAGACAGAGCTTTTGCCTGCTGATTGATCGCCACAGACCACCAGTTGCGGAAGCGCAATATGGTCGCCAACCCCATTGGCACGGATACGGTCGACTTGATTAAGCCTTTCAGAAGTCCTGGATGACACTAGGCCGAGTCCGCTTCGGACCTGACCACTGTCCAGCGGGACCCAATCCTTTTCTGGTGGAGTATCCATATTGAGCGGTACTCCTGGTTGTCCGTCGGCAAGGTCCTATGGAGAAAAGGAGAGGAAAGAATATAAAAAGGGACCCGGCTCTTTATAGACTCGCTGAACGGTAGTCACGTCCGAAACCGACTTAGCCTTAAGTCATCCAGGGCTTCTGAAAGACTCAATCAAGCCGACCGCATATCAAGGGGTCATGGGAATCACGACGGGAAACGATGAATGCGAGTGACTGACCCTCTCGCAAGAATGAAGGGGACTCCTATTTATGAAAAGACCGTGAAGAAAATACTGTTCACGAAATCAACTTGCTCATAATTCTGGTACGGCCCGGAAATTAGGAAGACTGAAAATATTTTACGCAAGGAGTGAGTCAGACGATGATTCACCGCAATATACCCTTGCTAAGGTTATTTCCAGGACCCCCTTGAGATAGATTGAACTATGCACTCTCTGCCTGCACCCGCCACATTCAGGCCCTTGTAATTGTCTTGTGGAGCAAGGGGGTCTATGCAAGGGCCAGCTGATGCGTCCAAAGAGATGGAGCACCCCTTGCTGCATGCTGAGTATGAGAGCCTAGTAACCAAAGAAATATATTATTACCAAGAAGTCAGCAGGTTTGTATATTTACAAAAGTGTGATGGCGAGTGTGGTCTCCCGTAAAAAATCAATGAATAAAATTGAATCATGCCTTGTGATAATAATAGCGCACTTATAATTATATATATTGGAGAAACTAACAATTATTGGGCCAATTATTGAATAGACAAGCCGCGCTAACAAACACCAGCAGAGGCCGTCAGGATGACGTACCTTTCCACTCCACAGGATCATGAGATCATCAACAGTGATATTATACTCTTTCTTCTCGTACAAAACAACTGTTTCCTAGCAAGCAATCATCAATTTCCTAAGAATCAGGTTGTTCAGTGGATATAGACTACCTTCAATTTATTATACAAACTACTTATATTCTATAGTCGAGTTCCCATCTAGTTACAGAGTGGTTAACGGCCAGGGTAGTTAATGGTAAACGGTGGAGTGGTTATACTTAACCGTTAACCTGACGGTAGGTATAAATCTTTTAAAACCTACCCTACCCCGCCCTGGCCGTTAACCACTCTAGCGAGAAGGATGTTATTTATAATAAAATAGATAGACTATCAGTACTAGAACTATCGAAATAGTATATTACAGTGGTCATATAAGTCATGAAGTTATCGAGAACTATCATAGTCTGTTGTAATAGGTATAAGTAGAGTGGTTATACCTCACCGTTATACCTTAACCTGACCTCAACTGTGACCTGGGGTTCGGGTTAAGAAATAAAGAATTTCTTAATTATATAGTTAAGATCAGGTTGGAATTAAGAGTACGCGACGAGCAGTATGTACTAAGCGGAAATAGGTAAATGTTCACATATAATAGTAAATGGGAACAGTAGTAAGGTAGGGGTGGGTGAATAGGCCGAGTGCGCAATATAGTTTCAGGAACCGTTTGTGAGTTGGAGTATCATCATCCGGTAGGTGGAAGAGATAGGCCGAAAAAAGAAGGGACAATAAGTCTTTACTGAGCAAAGTGAACGCTGATTATGAGTGGAGTATTGCTCAAACGTGCATCGCCTCGTTCTGTCCTCCCTTAGTCGCATCCGAATGTGCCCGGGTTGATGTGATTGGTGGGAGTTGCCGATCAGGCTTTTCCTGCCTTGGTGGCTGAGCACGTAGTGAACAGTTACTAGTTAACACGTTACCTCAGGAAAGCGTAGGTCATACCTAAGATTGAGAAGTGCTGTTCAGATAAATTGTTGGCTTCCAGTTAACTGCTTTTCCTAAATCACCAGTTCATTCTATTCAGCAGTTGTGAAGCGTACTCTTACTGTTCCCCGTAATGGAGCCGACCACTAAACTAAAAGTCAGGACCAACCTCTTGAATGGAACACTGGAGTACGAGCCATTCAAAAAATGATTACTTCCAATTGAGGCACGTGCTCTCCTATGCAGAGATGGATGCAAAACGGAAGTAGGCAAGCACATTCGGGCTTATTGTCCGGCGGGATCGGATCGTCCCAGACTTCCTCGAGCTAATGGAGTACCCAAGCACCGAGACTATGAACCTTGCCCTCAATATCATTGACCGACATGGACGCCTTAAAAGGGAATATACGAATCATCCTGCTCGAAGGGGACTTGGAATTTGGCAAGACGAGCTAAGCGAAGGCGATTTCCTAATCATTGAGACAGCGACAGTCTTGAAGAAAGCTCGTCGCCAGGGCATTGGACGTCAGTTGGTGATGGATATGATTCAAAAAGCAACGAAACTGGATACCAACGTTCGCTTTGTGTTTGCATACCCAAGCTGCTTGCACATGGCTGAAGACCTACAAGAACGTACGGGAAAGACGAAAAAGGAGCGATTTGGCATGGCAGATGCCCGAACGGCCCTTGCCATCAGGTTTTTCAGGCAATTGGGCTTCCACCGTATTGGGATCAGTCATTGGTTTGCCCTATCTATCGATATCAATCACCTCTCACGGACCATATCCATCGCCGACGATCCAGAGCCTCCCGAAGTAGAACCAATCTTATATGACGAACACGATTCGGACGATCCACAGCCGGAAGTGCCCGAGGCCAGGAGCGTTGTTATTGGTGAACCACTAGGCACAGACAGAGACTTCAATTACAATGAGGCCAAATCGTCAAGACAAGAGGTAGCTGATCACCTCCAAGAGAAAGTAAACCGCCGTAGGGCACGGAGCGAATATGCTCAGCTGTATCCGATACATCATGCGCTTCAGAGCCTCCCCGATTCCCAATGCATTGCAATGCTCAAGGAACGCGCCCTCAAGGGTGATGAGTCCCAGGGGTCCCTAATCGAGTCCAAAGACTGTTATAAAAATAATATTCTCCATATAGCTGCTTGCAACTTCAAGCCAGTGTGTGTCGAGTGGATCCTGAAGTCTATTGCCGTCAACCACCCAGATCTTAAAAATGGTCGAAAATATTCATGGGTACACCCCTCTTGAGGCATTGCAGTCTCAACTTGATGTGGAACGCCCGGGTGAATATCTCGGGCAGCGCTTCATAGTGCGAGCCGATAAGTTTGAGGGGTTTCAAAACGAAGCAGTCTCATGCATACAAGCCCTTAATGAAAGGTCGATCAAGGACGATATACTCTGTTGGAACCGCACGCGCTTTGGTTGTACCTGTGGACTCTGTCTCGGAGGCTTTCTCAGTCACCGTATGAGACAGAGCCTGCAGACAGGTGCGGAGCAGATACTTGATAGGCTCGAATTAACAGAAAATAAAAATAATCGCAATTGGTGTGTCATCAACGGAGACTTGCTCGATTACATCCCAGGAAATATTCGTCCAACGTTCAAGAAAGGCAAGGTACTACGCAGGCGCCTGCGAGATTTTACTACCACATTTATTGAGTATTCGCAAGCAGTAAGGTGCCCTACAACACGGAATTTGATGACTTCCTATAAGAGAAAGCGGGCTTGGCCTCAAATGCAGACTTTCTATTTCAGTCCGGGGGGAAGTATCGAAGCTGCCACGAACTTTTCTTGGATTTCGCGAAACAGCGTTTTCAAGAGAAATTTGGCCCTGGTGAGACATACCATGAACCGTTACCTGCGTTACCTCGGTGTAGGAATGATCATGAGTTTGAGGTGGTCAGACGACAGAGTACAACCGTCGCATGTGATGACCCGGACCCCCAAGCTTCGATAAACGAGCGCCTATCGTAAGTTCAAATCGTTTGATTTCTTTTCCTCTTCAATATTTTCCCCATTGAGTGTTTCTTGTCCAGGATAGCGACGATGTAAAAGTCTAACGTTTTACTTTTACTCTAGAGTCCAGACACCCTGGATCCCGCATTTGATGCAGATGATGCAGTTGTGATGATATTTTTCTCGCTAGAGAATCGCAAAGTACAAAACACATGCCTTGATGATGATTTAAGTTGAAAGCAGAGTATATTGCAGACAGAAGGGATTCCATCAAGCTAGCTTCTTAATAAAATTATCCAGATCCTTCGACAGGACTTTGCCATACTTTGAAGGGGAGTCGACAAATGGGATCAGTCTGGAAACTTCTAGGTTGAGAACCTGGTCAACATCCTCATGCTCATTAGCAGATAAAGGATACTTCCCAATTGTGTGACCTACCCACGGAAGCCTTAGCAGTGTATTCACAGTCACTTCAGAACTAGAAGGTGGTTGGGAGACTTGCCTGGTACGTAAGGAACACGGATTTTAATGTTTGGCCGCCGCATAAAGAGAAACGTGTCCTGTGATTCTTTTACGGCCACAAGGCAGAACACGAATATACTACATTCTCGCTTATCCAACAGGGACGAGATAGCAGCTTCAACATCGGCGAGCTTTCTTAACAAGGCACCTGCCGTAGACAAAGAACCTAAATGTTCAAATCGTTCCTCTAATTCATTAACAAGCTTCTCATGGTGTGCGATGAACAGGTCCACCGGTGTTTCGTTGTGGACGTTTCTAAGGTTGAGATCAAAGGAACCTCCGTGCTGACCGTTAAGCAGTGCGTGTATCTCCTTCACGCACCCTTTTCGCGCGGCCATGTGCAGAGCAGTGTCGCCAGGGAAATCCAGAGACCAAGGATCGATTCGAGCATTCAGAAACTCAGGTTCGTGAAAAGCCCGGAGGATATTGGGCAGAAGCCTTGGGTTCATCGCCGCCAGGCTCTCCGTAGTTCCACGCGTGTGTTCTTGGCCCATAAAGGCAAATTGAAGGGCTGTAAGTGGAAAGCGTCGGCCACCATCTTCGTGAAATGCACACTTCCAAAATAATTCGCTCTTTTCTTCCACCGAAAGGAATGAGGAAACCAAGTGCAGCAGGTTGCCAACTCTATCCTGAAGAATTGGGAAAACTGCATCTAGTTGGATCACTCTCGCCAGCACCGAGAAGTTATCGAATGGCCTAGTGAAGCTGCAATTGCCATACTGGCAGAGCAATCTCGCAGCTCCAATATTTCCTGCAACAAGAGAGACAAATACCTGCTCGGTAAAATCGGGCCTTTTTGTGGCTCCAGAAGGGGCCAATGGCAAAGCTTGGACAATGGATGCGACGACAGAAGATAGGTAGTGGAAATCAGAAGAAAGGCCACAGGTCTTACTCAATAGTTTCAACAGCATCTTGTAGGTTTCTGGGGTTCGAGGAATGTCGTGCTGATGGGACAGTAGGAAATCAAATATGCATCGGTTTGATGTCCGTATTGCGTCGAAAACGCATTCGAGATACTGTTCTGAGGATGGCCGCAATTTGCCCTCGTGGTAGTTCCAGAGAAATTCAAGCAGAGAAAGATTATTATCCTGACAGACGAGTCCAATTGCATGGACGGATGCACCTGAGCTCTCTTTGCTGAGACGAAGAGGATTGGAACCATAGCGCAGCAAGGTTTCGACCGTTCTCAACTGAGCGTAATGACGGAATGGACCGTGGAATAGCGTCGATCTCAGCCTCGAAAGTATTTTTCTCTCCAGAGCCATCAGTAATGGGGTTGCACTGACGCTTTTGCCTACTAGTCGAAGATCATTCAACCCCAGTTCTAAATCCTTCTGGTCTTTGCACGATGACAGCAAAAGATCAACGATATTGTATCTATAAGTGTTAATGGCAGCCTCGAGCGGAGAGGAATAAATGACCGCGTCACCTCGCATATCCCATTCGTTTAGTGGTCTGTATGAAAAAACATCCGCACCATGTCTGAGCAGTTCTTTGATGGCCGTAATATTTCCCGCCCACACTGACCACAGCAGCGGCGTTCCGTCCTCTATACCAAACCGGCCATCAAGTCCCTGTCGGTAGACATCTCCTCCCTGGGAGTGGACCTCAATTTGTGCGCCATGCTGGAGAAGAAGATGTGTCATCTGAGGAATATCTTCCTCAGGAAATGCACTGAGAAAATGCAAAGGATGAACGCTGTCAAATGTTCCAATTGATGGGTCTGCTCCGAGCTTAAGAAGGAGCTCCACAACTCTTGCATGGCCACAACGACAAGCAACAACTAGGGGTGTCTCACCCAAGCCATTTATAGTATTGAAGTTTTCAATGGAGAGATGTGAAATCCTTTTGAGGCTCCTTAGCTGACCGTGTGCGACAAGCATATGTATGAAATTTGGTGGAGAATGTCTCAGGCCTGCAGAGATCAGAATAAGCAGATACTCTGTATCCTTCCATAACTCTCCTTTGACGTAAGAGCCGTTATATTTAAAGCGTAGCAAATGTTGTACTTGTTCATATGCAGCAAAATTAAATGTTCGCAGTCGCTCCATAGCAGTGAGACTGCCCTTTAGAGAAGACTGGTATAGCCATTCAAACTCCCTGTCACGGCCAATGGTTGTTACACGGTCAAATAGGGCAGATAGTCTGCCAACCATGCTCTGGGCTCGATGATGCCCCAAGTTTGCCGCACGATATAGGTAGGAAAGGGCTCTTGAAATGAGTTCGACATCCGATCTTGAGACATCATCGTAGCAAAGAATCATCAGCGCGTATTCGAAACAAGCAACAAGACGACGGGGTCCAGCTTCTGTAGGAGAGTCTGCAATGAATTCGAGTTGCTTAGTGAGCTCCCTTCGGACGCTTTGTGGTATGAGCGAGGTATATCTTTCGTCCAATGTCGCCTATGTCGAGAACGATCCTAGCTGTTAGTGTCTTTCAAGACCACAGGAAACGACCCCGGAGGTGCCTCTACATACCTGGAAGACATCCTCCTTGTCTGTCCAATTTTCCTCGTTTTGCTCTTGATGATGCCGGCTATGCCAGTCAGTATTGTTATGTGATGTAAGTAGCAGGCTGTGGGTCAGTACCTCCAAGACTTCGAAAATAGTTTCATATACTCCTTAACTCTGAGTGACTGGCTCGCAATGAATCTGAGAGCGGCGTCAGGATATTTGAATGGGGCTCACAGAGAACAGAATTTCTGAACATACCTTTTCTGTTTTCTTTCGAGTTCCGGTCGCCCCGTGCGAGTGAAGAGCCGATATATCCGCGGATTTTTCTTTGTGAATTTGGCAGGGCTCCCAAATCGCCATATGAATCGAATATGGCGGAAGACGTTAGGTCTCCGCCATATGTCTGAGTTATAGCTATTTGATGGGCTCAAGGCGTAGTCCAGAATGGCAGCATCGACCTCTTGACTATTAAGCATAGCAGGAAGACCCTCGTGCAGACCTTCCGGGTTGAGCCGTCTTCGGCTTGATGCGAGCTGTTCTTCGCACAACCTAAGCCATTGGTAGTTGGTATCATACACAGCATAGAGCTCCAATGTCAAAATCTTCCTAAGAGCTAGGAGGACGGACTGTACGTCAGCAGGTCGCTTGGTCGGCTCAACTACCATGACGCGATTGACAATATCAATGAGCAGCATTTCTGCTTTCTCATCTTTCATCTGGGAGTTGGCCAGCGTGATCCAATCCCCGTCACCCATCATACTATCAAAACTTGAAAAGTTGCCTTTCCTCCGCTGCGCCTGTATCATGTTGATTATCTGGTTCTGGGACCATCTCCAAATGCCGCGTTGGCGCCGCCGCTCAGCTGCGTCTTTTCCAAATGTTGGTCGTACCATACTGTCAAGAGTCAGCAGGTCTTCACCCTGCATCATCCAGTTTGCCAGTTCGCCTTGTCTTTTGAGATTCCTGACAAGATCAGGACTAGCTGAGCTGAGTCTATCTAATATATGGGGTCCTCTGACCAAAAATGCAAGGAGGAACCCTAGGGTATAGATTTCGGCTTTCAAAAGGCCGTCTCTGCTGTAATTTTGTTGGCCATCAAGCCGTTCGGGTGCGTAAAATAGCGTTGTTCCAGAGCATGCCTTCCGGGGGAAGGTGGAATGGTGTAGTGAGATGGAAGAGCCGAAGTCCGCTATTTTGGCAATGAAGCCCCTTTCCTTATCTTTGAAGACCAGTATATTACGAGGTTTGAGATCCCCGTGCAAAATGCCAGCTTGATGAAGAGCATCGACACCTAGAACAATATCAATACAGAGTCCAAGTCGTCTTCGCATCGTGATACTATTTCCATGCTGCTGATAAAAGTCCTCGAGGTCACCGAGATCTGAACCTTCGAGTACAAGGTTCGGAACTGTGATGTCCAATTCCGTGTTTACGGTTCGCCAGCAGCAACCAACCAGTCGGACGATGTTCTCGTGGTTTCTTAGTGACTTATAATTCAATATGCGATATTCTCTTGTCATTGAGTCGAAAATGTACCGATTCCTCTGTGTTCTCAATTCCGGATCTAGGATCGGCGTCTTCACAGCTAAGAGCTTAGGGAGGTGTTTTAAGCGAACCATGTCATGTGGCAAAACTTTGGAAAACTCTTTGCGATCGATCAAGGATATTGAGAAGCTAGAGCCCTGCCCTTTTCTTTCAGAGAGAGCGATATTGCTTGGGGTGATGTGGATCCGGCTCATACCAATCCCCGTCCACTCCGTATAGGACGTTGAGCTGGAGACAAGGGCCAGAAATGAGACGAAGTCCCAGGAGACTTCTCCCGGTCCATAAGGTACATGATGTTCATTCTCGCTGACAAAATGGCTAGGGCCTTGGATTGAGGAGCCGATGAAGGTTGAGGCGGTACTGCCATAATAACTCATTGCGAAGGGACCTGAAACATTGGGGTTTGGTGGTGATATTTGCAACCGTCCCTTTTGTTTCAACGACTCAAAGGCATCTGCTCCAATTTATGGACAGCTGGCTAGAGAAAGTGCGCTTATCAGTGCGCTTATCAGTGCGCCTAGTAGTGTGTCTCGCGATGTTACAATTTGACTGCGCCACATTTCGCAATCAAGCTAGAGTATATAGGCTTTCTCCCCCACTACCAATTTCGCACCCACGCTTTCCTCCTAACTGTTACCTCCTGCCAAACCTATATTCTTACTATCAGTTTCCTGCTGTCAGTTAAATACTACTATGGAGTCTCACTTCGGCACGTTCGCCTCCTCGACAGGACTTCTAGGCAACATCATTCAGAGCTGTCTCGCTGTATCTACCTTCTTAGACAGGGTGGGGAATGCGGATGATCTAGCCAAGCACTTTAGCGTACAGCTTCAATATTCTCTATCAAGACTGGACTGGTGGTCGCGCAGATGGAATCTAATCCACAACGAGAGTTCGTCTACTGGATTCATGGATGCACGTTTCCAACTTTATGGGAACGCTATCGCGAACTATCTGGAACTCATTCATTATAACGCGCATCACTTGACTTCCTATCAAGAGAATATTCCAATATTTAAAAACATGTCTTCGGCGCAGGCTTATGGTGCAACTGAGAGATTTGCCAAGTTACTGAACACACCTTGGAAGGAATATTACGCGCCGTCTTCGGTGACCACCCAAGAAAGCCATTCCAGTCTCTCGGAACGCTTCAATTGGGCATCACGAAACGGGACTGCCATGAAGCGTCTGAACCTTTTGAATGACCTCATACGAGACTTGGACGAGTTCTTCCCTCCTCCCGGTCCTAAGTCTGACATGTCTGGAGCAGTACTAGTCAACCCCGCGTTGATGACGCAACAATGTGACTGGAAATTAAAATGGCTAAGCCGTGAGACAGAGATGGACCCATTTGCTGCGTCACTCGCCTGGCTCAAGTCAACTACTATAAGCCACATAAACGACCTGAAGCTGTCTTCTGATTACGAACCTCAAAGACTAAATGGAATCTTGATAAGTGACCAGAAACTCCCTCATCCTCGCCATTATACTGGGTTCTACGATGGGAGACCTGTGCTTGTAGAGCAGAAAACTGTTCCTGTCAGCGCAAGTCATGACCTCCTTGAGCCGCGAATCGAGAAAATTGTCCATTTACTGAAAGCATCGCAAAATATCAAAGAATTAAGAACGCTTCCTTGCATCGGCTATGTATATACGCAACCTGGGAAGGCTCTTTGCCCATTAACGCCGATCATTGCCGATATGACTTCATATACACTATCCATGCTGGGCCTATTCTGTCATTGCACGACATGTTGATAGAAATAGAAAGCCGTAAGGGCGCTAGACGACGGGAATTGTCACTCGACAAACGCTTTGACATTGCTAGGACACTGTCACTCGACAAACGCTTTGACATTGCTAGGACACTTTCCAGAGCTCTCTTGTACCTACACGCGGCTGAGTGGCTCCACAAAGGCATCCGCAGTAGCAACATCATGTTTGTCCCCTCGACCCAACCAAACATTGGCCAATCCGGATCGCCGTACCTCGTTGGCTTTGAATATAGTCGGGTCTTCTCACATGATGAGGGTACTGAAAACCAAGAAATAACATCCGAGGATAATCTTTACCGACACCCAGAAAGACAAGGATTACCCGCCGCAGACAACGAACCTTATATAGGGAAGACAGGGCGCTTCACTAAGGACCATGATATATACAGTCTTGGTGTGATCTTAATTGAGATGGGTCTTCTGAGGTCCGCTGAATACATTTCGAGAAAGTGGGGAGAAGGCAGCTTTAAAGATTTCCTAATTGAAACTGCTATCTCACAGGTTACTCTCAAAATGGGCGTGACTTATGCAGAAGCTGCTTTACACTGCCTGGAGTCAAACTTTTACAGTCAGCCTGGAACAAGCAATGGGGACGGTTCTGTAGCATTCTACAAGAAGGTCGTCTCGCAGCTCGAGTTATGCAGAGCATGAATCTTCTGCCCCCTCCTTTCTCTTTTATATGTTATCACATATTCGCAGAGCAAGTTTTGTAATTATAGCACAGTCGTGGCTGGTCGAAATACTACTTGGCTTAAACAAAGAAATGGCAGTATTTCCGCAACTCGTGTGGTCAAATGTGCCTGAGACTTGGTAAAACCGTAATATTAAAGAAGAGAGAGGTGTTATGCAATGTAAAAAAGCTTGCTTTTCATTACGCTCGCGAGTGTAGTTGAGCACAGTGCTGTGAACAAACCGTTATTCTACTCTCATGCGCAAAAGAGAGATATGGAGTGAGTCGAGCAGGCTTTGACTGCATTGTCACGGATCTCCGCGTGAAGGTCTACCCAGTGCCTAAACTATTTGCTGGCTTCCTGGCCTGTCCACTGTCAGAAGCTGCGATTGCCATGGGCATGATCAATGAACTCTTAGAGGACGAATTCCCGGGTCAATGTAGCGGAGACGGCGCCGTCATAAATACTGAAATAACTCTAATATTAGTAGTTAATGTATTAAGGAAAATCCAGATATTGGTTATATTACAAAAACTAGTTCTAGACTTTGACTTTTTAATATAATATAGATCTAGTCTTCATGATCTTTATACTAGTTTGAAATATGTTTATTTATTTTATTTTATTTTATAGTAGCCTTTGAAATTAGTTGGAAACTTTTAGCAATCAATTCCATACTCTTCTCGCCGTATTTCACCTTCTTATCAAAAACGATTTTGATGAATATTATGACAAAACATCCAGTCCAATTACCACCGTATCTTGTTCTAAAAAGATTGCACAGTTGATCGCCAAGTATATAAATAATATTTACACTTGTAATAGACTGGTGGTAGCGACCACCTACTCCCGTGTATACATGTCTATATAAGCAGGATTCTAGGGGTCCGCAGGCAGCTGCGGGTAATGATGGTCTTTTTAGCCTTGTGTGTACAACTCCCCTGGGTTGTTCTATGACAACACTCAGAAATCTAATATTCTTTCTTAACTGCCTATCTTATCTACTGTTATTCTTACTGAATCTACTAGATTATTAAGCGGCTATATATTCTTGATAATTTATTATATAATTCTTAGATAATAAAGATCTATTATTTTAATCAAAATAACCATTCTTTGATATACCAGAAGAAAGGCTTCTGGAAAAAGGATCTATAGCTTTTTCTTTTTAATATTTTGTTTTAATAAAATCAAGTTCCTGCATGTCCGCTTTAGAAAATTGTCGATGTTCTCCTGACAGAAGAGTGCGAAATGGATCGGGACTGCAGGGTACCAAGAAGGAAGTAAGTAGATGTTATCTATGTCTAGTAAGTATCACGCATGTTGGAGGTTGAAAATAGATATGATTGGATGGAAATTACATCACATGACGCGGATCGTCGTTGCTTAGCCTTGCTCCCCCATATCGACCCAGAGCCTCGTCACCTGAAATGCCAGTTATCAAGGATCTCTGCCATATTGACGATAGGAGATATTAGCTTCTTTGTTGCGGAACCAAGCCATGCGGTTACTAGAAGCCACCACCCTACGCCTGGTTGATTTTGCCCCTGATAATATTCCTCTGTATGCAATCCTCTCACACACATGGGAGGAGGGCGAGGTCTTGTTCGAAGACATTGGCAAGGGGACTGCATCGACGAAGCCAGGGTATAAGAAGATCGAATACACGGCACAGCAGGCTCTTCGTGATGGGCTCGAATATATCTGGGTAGATACGTGCTGCATCAATAAGGAGAGCAGTGCCGAACTTTCAGAATCTATCAACTCCATGTTCCGCTGGTATCAGCAGGCGCAGGTCTGCTATGCTTACTTAGCCGATCTGGATGGGGATATAAACGAAATGGTATCCTGTCGTTGGTTTACGCGAGGCTTTACTCTGCAGGAGCTCATCGCTCCAAGCAACGTGGTCTTTTTCTCTCGAAGCTGGGTTTCACTTGGCAGTAAAATGGATCTCTGTGATGCCATCTCCGATATCACGGGAATTGGCCTTGAGTATCTCTGCCAGTATCGGGAATTGGAATGTGCCAGCATTGCTCAGCGGATGTCGTGGGCAGCGACTCGGCAGACAAGCCGTCCCGAAGACATAGCCTATTGCCTGTTGGGGATCTTTAGTGTGAATATGCCACTACTTTACGGCGAAGGCGCTCGAGCCTTTATTCGTCTAGAAGAAGAAATTATGCGGAAATCAGCTGACCAGTCGCTCTTCGCATGGTGTGATCCCGAAGCAAAACCGGATGCACTGTATGGTCTCCTGGCGACGTCTCCAGCACTGTTCGCCAACTCAAGGAAAATGCTATCGTACGAAAGCTGGGAATCGCGACCCCCCTATGAGATGACAAATAGAGGACTGCGAATTGAGCTTCCTATCCAACAAAACCGAGAACACCCAGTGCTCGATGTAGCAGCGCTGAATTGTCCTGTCCCTGATGACCCCAACGATGACACCTTCATCGGCATTTATATACAAAAGCTATCCAGCGGAGACAATCAATATGCTCGGGCTCAGGCACATATGATCTGCCATTTGACCCGTGATCGTGGACCACTTCGCACGATATATGTACGCCAGCCGACGATGGGCCCATCAACATTCTTCAGCGGAGGTGGGATATTTCCACATCATATCGTGGTCTTGGGAACTGGTCCAGGCTATGAGGAACAATATCACCTGATCGGTACATTGCCGCCATTGGTAACAACGACGAAGACATTCAACACCACCCCAGCGATGCAGCATTCGGGGAAAGATCCGACATTCTTGATAGCTGCCCGTGCATCTGCACGCAAATGGGTACCATCACATTGTCGGCCAACATTTTCGATACCAAAGATCAAGAATCAGTTGGCGGGGGCGCTTTTACTTAAGAATGGCGTTACTGGTCGTCATATATGCATTATGTTTGGCTCTATGGCGGACTATAATCTCGGGTTCAGCGCGATTGATACAGACATATCTAACTTCGATGCCCCAGAAGCATCCGTTACTCTCTCCCAACTACAGCCACTGTTTTCTGCTGTACCACCCGGACGATTGATGCGGCTCGAACATATATCAGTGCGAATTGGCATCAGCGTGCATATTTTCCATGGTGGAAAATATTTTGTTCTTCAACTTGAGCTTGTTGAAAGCGACGAAGAGGGTCAGAATGAGGATGATGGAGACTCTGCTGCGCCACATTTCAGTAGAGGAGAAACTTACATTTCTATTTCTCCAGCAGTCCGCCCCCCCTCTCCTAGTCGCCGGGTGGTTAGATCAACCCAGACCAGAGTCGTCCATCATCACCTCGAGAAACCACAGAAAAGCGATTCAGTGCGGAAAGCAGGTGCATTGGTTAGTGGAGCCATTGCAGCAGGGACTCTGGCCTCGGCAATTGGGATGTTGGCGAATGGGTGTTAGAGCTATACTTTATTTCTACTGTATTGCACTGGGATGCCACAGACCCGAATGACAATGTTTGATTGTGAATTGTCTGAAAGCTCGCGTCTGATCCTACAACTACTTCTTTCCTTTTCATATTCACTAAATGACCTTCTATTAAGGGATGACGTAGAAGATATGATAAATGTACTATTGCAGCCCACGTATTTAGATTAGAAGCCAATCGCCTCCTACCTGGCCCATTCGAAAAATCCAGCCGCTTGAGGCGTCTTCCACCTCCAATGGGTCAACCCAAAACCTCTCTAGGATTGTTACCGCATTTATCACATTGATGCATTTGGTTTCGAACCAAAAGCTGTCTAGAAATTCTCTGACTTGACTCCTTCGGGTTTGGTCTTCAGACTCCAACCCTGCAATAAAAAGGGGCCATAGTATGCACTTAAATAGCGCTTTATCCCTCCTCAATATGTGAACCTCGTGGACCAGGCCTGTTACCAAGTCACTCAATGGAGTATTGTTCCCAGTTAGCGCATCACAGATGCGCCACCCGTATATCAGTATCGCAGATTTATAAGCCTGGGCTAAATGTTCCAGCGACTGTACATTCTGTGTTGATGGAGTGAGGGATGAGACTCGTAGAGTCTGGTTCGCCCAACGGTAGCAATCGAAGAGGTCGGTAGAGTTAAGCACACTTGTGACTGACTGTAGCAAAGAGTATGTCTCAGGCGTATCAAGGTGTCTTGGGTCAGCTAAGCGGTCCCTGGCTGCTGAGAAGAATCGAACAGCAGATAGCAGGTACTCAGGGCAACCGATATAGGCCCTGTCGATACTCATTTGTAGCGGTGCAGCGAGGGACATATCCGCCCCGGACAATACTTTGCGACCGGAAAATGTAGCGCCAAGCGTTTCAATACTGGAACGGACAACATGTCAAAACGGCACATTCCATCCTATGGTTTGAGACTGGAGCCTTACAGGTAGATCTGCCCCAGAATAAATTCCCGCATGCCTTCAATGATTGCTTCTAGATTCTGCGAAGTTCCCGCAGTATGCATGTCATGAACAAGTTGCTTGATGCCACCAAGATGGGATTTCCACTGGTCGCGCCCCGATTCCAAGAGATCGAGGAAGATCAATATGAATGCACTCAGAACCAGAACGTCTCGCGACTTCGGTACTGGATCGCTGAGCGCCTGAATTAACCCGCGTATGGCCTTTTGTTTGTACATCAAACCATCAGGATGCGCCTGAAAGCGCGTCGCATGGTCTCCATCTTGCCTTTCACAATATATTTGCTGACCGTTTGCCATGTGGCGCGCTGATATAGCCATGACCGAAGCAGTTAAGACTGGATTAGCCAACGCTGCCGGAATAAGTTGCCTCAAAGGGTTTCGCTGACTGTCAAACATGACAAACAATTTGCACACACATCTGCTATCTGACTCTGTCAGTAAATGTGGCTCATATCGCATCTGCTCGAGCATACTGACAGTAATTCAAGTAGTACAGGGACTCATCATCCAGGCTGTCAAAGGAAGGATCCTTTAAGCTGGGCGAAATGCTTATGTGGATGCTGCTGTGACCTCCGTCTTGCGAGTTGGTTGACTGTCCGTTTCTTCCAAAAGGGGCTATTGCCTCTAAGGTTGGTGCCGCCAGACCAGCTTCATGACGAGAAGACACCTTGTGATGGGGTTTGTTGAGGGCACTGCCTTGATCCATGTGATGGGCTTGCGAAGTTCGCATTCTGTTCCGAAAAGCCGGCCCGTCGACCCAACGGAGGGGTCTTTTTTGGAGGCACTCTAGGCCTGCCTTTTGGCACTTCTTACACGGTGGTTGGGTCATTTGGCACTCGACATGCCTACGCCGGCAAGTGTAACATGCACTGAGCATGGTGAATTCCAATCAAGTTTGATTCGATGTATGTGGGTTGGAATTGGAAGATGTCTGGGGAGTTGAACATCGACTGCCTCCCAGCGGGACAATACGTTACAAAGATAGGTCATGTGATAGCGCCAGAATAGTTTCTGGTACCACTCCAACACATCGTCTTTCTTGAACATGGACTTATTTAACACATAAATAGTGTGCCACTTCAAGCTATTCTTGGCTATATATAGTGTGCGCATTGCCTGACAAGGTCACTAATCCACGCGTATGTTGGACTTCACTGGTTGAGACCCATACCTGAACATATTTCGAAGTCAAAGTACACACCGCATGCAGAGGTACTAAGTAGACAATTACTTGCCTCCTTGCAATTGTATCTGTTTTGACAAAGTAGGTTGTCTTCAGACTTTAGTTCCAGATGCGCAAATAGCATCAGACGATGCAAGGCTTTTAAGCCTATGCTTTGTCGCTGTCCGAAGTCTCTTCCATTTTCTTTGCCTTTCTTTCCAAATAGCACCATTACTATTGTTAACTATTTCCAAACAATGACAGCGCATCACACGATGTCCTATTCATCCATTATGCTATTTACTGAGCAACAAGGTATTCATCTATGGCACCATTTGTTTGTACAGTGCTAGCTGAATCCCTTTGTTTATTCGACCTCTGAGTAATAAAAGATATATAGTCCAGCTATATCCCTTGCTGCTATATTTTCTCATGAAACTCATACACTATATATTAACTACACTGTGCTCGATACACCAGAAAGCACCAATTTTTTCACTAAAATGAAGCTCTCTATTATGTCCACGATCATTGCAATCATTTGCGGAGCCCTGGCGGCCCCTACTACCGAAGGCCAAGACACGCCAAATAGCGGCCTGGGGTCTCGCGGCGTTGCCAGTGGTTGCTATCCCTTGTATGAATATACCCCAAGACCATGATGTGTACCTTGTTTGATGCCATGAGATACATTCGCTGACTGATATCATAGTGCTTCCCCTCGTTGCGGTCTCTCCGAAACATACTGCCAGTGTGCCGACGGTAGGTGAAAACAGTAACAATCCACCATTTTATGTCTATCGCTGATTCAGCATGTAGGGCGCTTCTACGATTATAACGGTAAAAAGGGGTGTAATCCTCCCGGAGCTATAATTTCTGAGTCGGTCACTGGTATTCCGGGATATACCTGCACCTAGCCGGGAACCTTCCATTGAGTTTATGTTGAACGTAAACTGATAATGAAATTTGTTTTTGTTTTTGTGTGCTTTGTGTCATCGGCCTGACATTATCTTCTGAGAAAAGATGTTAGTGACAGTACTTTGGGTGTATTTTTTTTTTTTTTTTTTTTTTTTTTTGGAAGTTCTTTGTCCTTGGTCAAGCCATTGCTCTTATTGTGGCCATTTTCTTTGTCATTCGAAGAACTTTATCGTTTCTTTGTGGATATTACTCGAATTCATCAACCACAAAACCAGACCTTATTGATGTGACCTAAAGTGTTAAAAGCTATCTTAGAAATATCTCGTTCTTATCTAGTTTTAGTCTATGATTCTTCGCTTCAGGCGACCAAAATACAGGGTACAAGGGGCTTCTCGTCCAGTGTAGGGATAGCGAGCCTTCCATATTCCTATTCCGAACTATGTTTCAGCGCTGCGCCATTGTTGAGTGATGAGGATACTGAATAACGTTTACTGTGTGTGCGAGCACTGTATCTTGCGATAGACATATATGGACAGAGATGAGCGGTTGGGGATAAAACAGAAATAGTAGTAACCCAATAAAGAATTACTAGTTCCATATGATCGCAAACACCTTCTTCATAATAGCATACTCGACATAGAAGGGCGGCACGAACCTTTCCACCATAGTATCCCATGAGGGTCTCCAAGGTGGATTGAACATCGCACGATAAAACTCCCAATAATCAGGCCAGTATCCTGCCAAACCCCAGTCTAGGATGACAACAGTTCCATCAGAACGTACCAACATATTTCCTGGATGCATATCTCCATGTGTGAAAACAATGGAATGATTCATCTTCTTCAGTTCTCTGACGGTCTGGTAGAGCACATATTCATTGTTGAAGAACCTGGAGTCAACGTCAGGCGACCCGTCTCGTCGCCGTGGGGGCAGCCGATCCCTCAAGGCTTGAACTATCCCCTCAGTAAACTCGTCCTCAGTTGCGTACGGTCCATACGAATAACTGTCATAGGCACCCCATCCTCCTTCAAAGATACCGTCACGACAGGGAGATGAGTCGATCCCCCCAATAAAATTACCCTTTATCTGCCTCATTTGTGCGACATAGTCGCGTAGCTGGGTAAGGACATTTTGCCGCTCTAACTCTGAAACACGATCCCAGTACTCGCTGAGGGGTTCCCCTTTTTCGTATGACATTACTATATAACATATCCCCTGAAGAATGTAGGCACTGAGTAACTTGGGAATGGCGATATTGGTCCGGCTGGACACCAAATGCATTGCTTCTGCCTCAGCAAGCCGGACCCCGTGGCCGTACTTAACAATCATACCCGAATCGGCCCAAACGAGACGCGCACCCATCTTATCCGGGCAGAACTCGACTGCAGTCTCGAGATCAGATGGGTCCAATATTATTGTTGGCGGCCCAATGTCTTCTGAGAAGATTAACTGCGGTTGGGGCTCTTCCCCCGTAGGATCATCGACATTCCCATGTGGAAACGGAATTGCTCTTTCTGTAGTCCCCTCACATATGTCCACGGTTGACTCGGTTTTTAAGGCCTTATCTTGGGGTTCTTCCGATGTGGTGGGCGGAAGAACGGGTTTACTGCTCATAGCGCTCAGAATGTCGCAGTCATCCAGTGGCATACCTCTGCCCCCAAATTCAGGTGGTACGTCGGCACCCAAATAGGATGCGAGCTCTTCAGGGCTTTTCAGTACGGTTGTTTCTTTGAGCAAGCTTTCCCGAATGTCCAGGGTGTCAAGGTACCCATCAAAGGGCTGTATAACATAAGTGCGGTCAATAAAACCTGGGTAATACTTCTGAATTTCAAGGGCAGTATTTGCTAGGACGTCGCGAACCTGGAGGCGGAAATGTCCAATGAATAAAAGGAACTTAGCGCCCAGTTCTACACTTCGTACATAAAGAACCGCCTTTTTCCCAGTCCTCTCTCCCCGGTATCTTTCCCTCCAACTTACTTTCCACGTGACCCATTCATTAAACGCCCAGGCTTCCACCAAAGACAACACAACTAGGCAACCAGTATCTCAACTTTGTCCTTCCCAAGCTACCTCTCCATACCGTTCATCTAAAATCAAAAATGGACCCTCTAACACAACCACCCACCCACGCCATCTCCATCAACATCTACGGGCGCGGCGATGCCACCCTCGGCGACGGCCCTTCCCACATGGGCATAGCCGTATACGAGATCGGCGCGTCCACCTGCCAAATGCACCACATCCGTAACCCCACCGACGAATACTTCATCTACGATCCACGTGTCCACCCTTTACAAGATGACCCTGTCCTGAGAGGACGTTGTGAGCTGATCACCTTCCGACAAGTAGAATGTGAACAAGTGAACAACCTACTCTCCTCGTTTGGGAATGACGCATCTAATATCCCTGAATTCGGTGTGGGTAACTGTCAGGATTGGGTGGCTGGTGCGGTGGCGATGCTTGAGGATGCTGGTGTGTTAGGGACCGGGGAGGGGGCATTCTGGAAGAGTATGATCAATGAGGGGGCAGAGAGTATGAAGCGTGCGTGTGGAAATTCGGGGAGGAAGTGGATTGATGGGCCGGAGATGGTATTTGAGGGGGAGCCGGATGCGAGATTTAGGGATGAGGGGGGTAAGAAGGAAATAGGGAAGTTGAAGGATAATGAAGCTTTTCGGGAGAGAATGCAGGCGTTGATGGGGAAGAAGAGTAGTGGTGGTGGTGGTGAAGCAGGGGAGAGAAATGTGGCTGAGAGACCGTTTTATGTGTCGAGTCCGTTTTTCAGTCAGACAAATAGACGTGGATAGACTAATGTTGTTCATTATCGTCATCGTCATCCTCGTCCGTATGACTTTCGCTGCTCGATGAGGAAGCAAACCTTGGACGTTTTTACTTGCTGCTTAGAATATAAAACACTCTGGTGTACTCCGGCTTTGCCCTCATATCCCTGCCTGCAAACAATCATTGCGATAGTTCACAGTGTATTTGTATCACTGCAAGCAATTATCCAGCACAGAAATGCTATTATGAAGAACGTCCAACGCACGGCATCGGACAATGTCATCCACTCTATATACATGCCATTCCAGTTTTTATAGTATGCACATTTACTCCTTCTTCTCCTCCATCTCCTCGAAGCGTCTCAGGTCCATAGGCTTCTCCAAGAGAGGGATGACGTAGGGGTCGAAGGTCTTCCAGTAGGGGTTCTCGAGGTGGTACTTCTGGGAGCCCTCGTTGAGGTAGCGCTCGACGATGCAGAAGTCCTGCTTGTCGTGGACACTCTGCATGACGAACCAGGACAGGGTCTCCTTGTCCTTGGAGTAGACGGCCGAGGCTTCGATGAGCTTGGCGTGGAGCTTGGAGATGCTCTCCTCGTCGGGCTTAGCGCGGAGGTCTATCATCATTGCTATGTCAGTATAATCATGCCAAAGGTGGATTCAGCAGAATAGGTTTAGGGGCTTGGAAAACGTACGGACGACGATAGTGTAAACCATTGTGACGGTGTGATGGGAGGATCAAATGGGGATGTTGTGGGTGAGGAGGAGGGGATGGAGGGGTAACGGGGTTCTTAAACGTGGGTGGGCAAGATTGAGTTATTTTTAAAGAGTTGGGGTGGGGCGGACGAGTTACTGGTTAAGGTGTTCTCGGTGAGGATCCGAGGATGAAGCTTATGGGTTCCAGTTCCGCCAGATAAGCTTAAACTTGAGGTGTATCTCTGGGAGATTGGGGCTGCACCTTTGTTGGAAACTAGTATTGGAGATGAAATAGAGAGGTTAGGGTGTTGTACATTCATATTTTGATATTTGACCAAATCTTGGAATCTCATAGTCTCAATTGTCCAAGGATGAAGGTGCTCGGGGATACTTCGGCGAGTCTGCATCGACCCATATATGACCCCACATTTCACTTTGTAGATGTGCAGCATGCGTCCCTTGCATAACTGATGATCGGTGTGATGGACAGCATTGGGTTCGCCTATCCTAGCGACATAAACGGGGTTATTGAAGACTTCATCACTAGTACTTACTAAAAACATATTATTGTTCAGCTGGTCGGGGCTCAGTGATTATGACGAGGGCAATGGTCGACGTGTGTAAAAGGTAATGACATTCCAGGGTCCATTTCACTCTCAAATAGATTACTCGTGCAACTGGAAGCACCTGGTGGCTGAAAAGCTTTATATCATAAGGCGTAAAATGCCATAAGTTGATTTCAGGGTAGACTCGGTCTGCCGAGCAATTTCGGCAGCTTAAGATCGGGTTCGGATGTGGTGACGTCATAGCAGACTGGCGGAGGACATGATGATTTTAAAAGGTAATACGTGCATAAGTTGATGGACAAAAGTATGCATGGTCGACTTTCATAATCACTCTGAAATCTAGATGCTTCTTTCACTCGGCACTACACACGGAGATGGCCTATGCTAGGTTACTGGGGCCTGTCTTTCTTTCGCGGCCGACTGTTCACTACTACTATCCAAGGAACATTGCTGTAACAGAATTATGAATGTCAGTTGTTTCTAGCTTCCATATCTATAATACTTGTGAAAAACATTTCTATTTGATTAACAGGCTTTTCAGTAATCTCTTCAAGTCGGGTACTATTCTGCAGAATAAATAGAATTTATTTTGTAAGTGAAAGTCACGTCAGCCATGTGATATATATAAGCGGGAGTATGACCATTAACATAACCCTCAGAACACACTACTATGACTACTAGAAGTATGAACAGAACTTTTATTCACCATTCTTGCATATTCAACTTCCCAAATCAAGTACTTTGTCTAAGAGGCAATTCTCAACCCTCTACATTCAATTCGCCTTCATTGATTCTCTAAAGCGCTAGTCTCTGGGCTCCCCCGCAACCACCACGCTGAGTGCGGGACAGCCCAAAGCTCGCATTCACACAGAAATAAATCTCACGATGAGATCTATCAAGTGGCCAACTCTACGGTGTTCCCGACATTATGGCCTCTTTAGGAAAATCGTGTTGAGACATTAAGCGGGAAGACCTAAGATCTCCGATGCCAAGAAACCACCGCAACCATTTATAGCTTAGGCGAGCCAAATGTTTCAAACCCGTCGGTTCCCTCCGCTCTTCATTCGCAATGTCTCACCTCCACCAGCTGATGTGCATGTTGAAGACCCTGATTCTCCAAACCTAACACCTTCTCTTCGTTCATTTCTCTTCAAGATACGAGGCGGATAAAACTCTGTCGATGCGAGAATGAAGAGATATAAAACCCCCCTGAAAGATAAGAAAAGCCCACTCTTCCCAGTCACACTCATCAGCTTGCTTTCTTGAGCTACATTCTGGAACGCCCAACATGTTGATCTTCCCCACAATTGCCACTCTTGTGGCTCTCTCAGCCTCGTCCACCGCCATTCTGCACCCCCGCTCTATCACTCCCCCAGAGGGATGTCCTATCCCCACCTGGGAAGTTACCACCTTCCATTGGTACAACGGGTCAAAGAGCCTGGACTGCGTCCATAACCAGGCAGACATCAACTTCAAAGATTGTCTATGCGGCAATGGCTGGTGTGCCCCCGACCCTGCCACCTGCAACGGTAGCATGGTCAATGTTTGCTGGACCGGAATGCCCAATTACCAACCCTGGGGATATGGTCCGCCTGAAACCCTTGACATCGACTTTGCCGATGGGTTGACCTGCCACGACGAGTACATCGGGTATCGAGTTCATGACATCGGGAACGGAGCATCTAATTGTGGATACGCGGATCGGGGCGAGGGAAGGATCGTCTCGTTCTATGGCAGCTCCAATTATGCGATTTCTACGGGGCATATGGATTATGTCTTGGGGGATGGGCATGCGCTGGAATGTGCGAACGGTAGCTTGATTACCTATTCTGGTAGTACGGATTTCACTTTGACATGCACGCATGATCAGTATTTAAATGCAACATGTACGGCGCCAGATTTTGTTATTCCAGTGTTGAGTTATGAGTGGGTGTCCTAGCTTGGGCGTGATTAAAGGGGGGGCTGGAAAGGTTGGTAGTGGCTTAGCTGAGTGTCATGTCGGTTGAACACGATATATGCATGGAGTATTGGATAGTCAATTTATATGGGCGGGTTCGGGCCCATTACTCTAGCTTTTAGTCCGAACATGGAGATTCTCGCCTATATGTGCTGTATTCAGTATACTTTTGAAGCGCCTTTAGATGGTCAGATTACTGTCATGTTCTTTTTGACTAGTCACAGTAGCCCCATTTACTCAAACTTGGATATCCGGGAGCAATATAATGCCCTTTGTTGTGGCTCAAGTACACAATAGACAATCACTGAGCATGGGACAGAAGCAATTTGCCCAATGAAACTTTCATTCGAGCCCGTCCTCTAAGAAAGCCTTACAATACCAAGGAATTCATATTCTGAGCATCCGCACGGAAGTGTTTCAATGCCCAACCCTCCGACATATGCTGTGTACCCCAAGGGACGTGATACTTGTGCTGGGTTTAAATCGTTCATCCCAGAAAGCTTGACACATAATATCAAAATAGCCTCTAACTGTAGAAAGGCGCAAACTTAAGGAAGTCGGCCTTTAGTGTTGTGGCTCCCGGTAAGGCGCGGGGAAGTCCACTCGGAAGCAACCGGGGTTGTCGATCATGGCCTCGCAAAAGCAATCGGGACCTTCGTATATGCAGCCATCCGATAGTCGTCTGCTAGTAGATGTCATGTCGCTTTTCTATGAGCATTTGATCAACACATATCCAATGGAATTCTATATTTCATGCAGTCATTCTACACCTAGAGGACTTCCGGGGTTTCCGGGGATTCTTGGCTCTGCAGGATAGGATCAGATGGATGGTAGGCCTAATATCTACTCCTCGCTAATGAAATCTAAAACTCCGTCCACGGCTATATAACTGCTGAGACATCCCACCAGGACCAAAGTACCAACCATCGCAATCAACCCCACAAACACATACAACAAAGTCCTCAAAGACAACTACCTATCCACAATGCAGTTTTCCAAGTCTATCGTGGCTACCACCCTTGCTCTCTTCGCCTCCAGCGCTATTGCGAGCACAGTCGATGTATGTGTAAAATGAATCATTTTGCACCTGCTCATTCGGCATCCATATCTCGAGCCCTCTTCTTTGTCCATCTGCTAACAAATATGGAATTAGATCGCCTACACCTCCAATGGCGCTTACTACAACCAGCAGGTCGAGCCTTACCAACGTACTCCATTGACTCAGCCGTACGTTCCTCACCTCGTTGAAGACCTTGCACAAGTAAAATGCTAATGACTCCACAGTGGATCCATCAGCACCTTCCAGAACACTGCCAACTGCTATCTCTTCAAGTAAGTATCACCCCTCCCATCATTGTTATACCTGGATTTGTCGCTAACATGTACCGTTCTAGCTACTATGGCCAGGAGGTCTACTATGTTGCAGCGGGTGCAACGAACATCGACCCTCCAGTCAACGCTGCATCCGTCCAGTGCCAAGACCCCTCTTCCAACTAGATAAGTGCCGACTTGACGTGATATGATGAATGCATTGGTTTCTTTGACGGTGCATTGTATTCACGCATCCAGGTACAGAATTCTGTACGCCATGTTGAAAGACTGCTGGGTATGCAAGGGTATGTGGGAGAGTTGATGGGAGGTCATATTGATAGTCCTATGAAGTAATGGTAGGTAGCTACAGAGAATGCTATACATTTTAATCATACTATGCTTCAGAAGCACATCTATGGACAGACAGGTTCCGAATCCGTTTCTCCATTGATGATAAAGGGGGAAGATCCTTGGTAAGTAGATGTCTTCATTTCAATCATAGGATGTACACTAGAAGGTGGTCCAGAGAAATCAGGATAACTGCCAAATTAACTGCGTTTTCAATGTTGTTGAAGAGCTGTTGGAGAGTTCTACATGTCAGCTGAGGATGCGTAGTAGGGATCAAATGCCTTCAGAGAATCTTTGCCCATGTTTAAAGTGGACTGTCTTTCCAATAAAACATTCATGGTGACCTCTTGTAGCATACTGCAACAATCCAGAAAGAATGTGTCCGTGGATGAGCAATCAAGTGTCATTACACTATGAGACAACCGCGGCCTTTCTGGGTTGTCCGCGGATGGTTCGGGCGTTCCTCAGACGGTGATGTTGCTTTTTTCCCGGCCATCTTCACATAGGCGGAGTATTCCTACCACATCTTTCTCAACGTGTAATCCACTTTCCTCAAATTGTTGCAAGGTCCGAAAATGTAGAATTGCGTTCCGTGGAAACTATCAACATTGTATATTTGTCTACAAAACCACGACATGACATCAATCAAATAACCCATGCGGATGTATTATCCGGTGAAGCGGCAAGGTCTCTGATTGGTAGTCGAGACTACCACCGGGATTGATCATGACCGGGTCTCATAATTGTCTCACGCTCCCTAATAAACTAACTAATTCTGTCTCACCTCAGATACACCGCCATACATTGCAGATTCCTTCCAGCCGTGCATCTCGTACAAAGTATATGATGCTCAAGAAAAGTGCGAATGCTCAATGCAACCTCACTGTGGAAAGGCGACTCGGGTATGTCAGACAGTCCGGAGTTGGCCCAACTGTGAGACTATGTTTGTTCATTACACACAGAGCTATTGAAAGGCGAACATAATCCATAGGAAACAGAGCATGTTTCTTTGCAATCAACCTTACTGTGATTAAGTCATATTTCTCCCAATTATAGAAAAAGCAGCCAAAAGCAACTTGCCAAGTATTTCCTCGCCACCGCAATGGCACTCTCAACTCGTCCTGGCCGCCAGTGACACCGTTGATGTATGTGTACAGTATAACCAGTCCTTCTCTGTAGATCTGTTCCATATATTATTGTGACATCATGCCGATACACGCTACTCCAGATTTCTTACACGTCTGACGGTGTCCTCCACGACCAAACAGTAACAGGAGGCGTATTTACTGAGCTGGACTATCCATACGTCTTCCTCCGGGCAGAGCTTTTCCGAAAGTACAGTACTAATAATCATCCAATGACAGAGGCCTCATCACGACCTTCCCAAGCAACGGACCATGCAGCATTATCGACGGGTAAGTCCAATTCATGTAGTCGAGCCAGGTCCAAATCAACAATTATTAATGTACAAATAATGATAGGGACCCATTGCAGCAAGACAGTATCCAGGTTGACGAAGGTGATCATACTTATATGATCCTGGCTTCAATGCTATAATGGTCTTATGCCTCAATCCCGACCAGATACCATAACGTGGAGTTTCCGGTGATGGCTCTGAATGAAGATTGGGGCTGTCGGCCTTGGGCATCAATGAATCCAAGTTTGGAGGGATATTCACATGGCCGGGAATATAATCCACAACATTTGCGTAGTTATAGTATGGGATTCAATAAAGAATAGATTATTCCCTCACAACGGAATGTACTTCGCTGTTGTATTTGAGACGATTCAACATTCTTGAAATGTCCGCGGATGATCCGGTCATGACATTGTTGCGTATTGCTCAGCCATCCTTACATATCTGTGTAACCCGACCGCAATCTTCTCGATATGCAATAAATATTTCTTCATATAATCAGAATCATGTGGTGAGTCTTTGCTGCTGAATTTGATGTGGCCATAGGATGCAGTGACCTGAATCCATTCAATTGACTTAAGCCGGTATACTCCCTCTCAAAGAGGTGAACATTTAAGGTTGGCCGCTTTTAGGTCATTAGTTGACATTAAATCTGTCGGCTACCCCCCGCCGCAGCAGACTCCAGACACCTACGATTTGATTGGCATTACAATGTCAGCGACTGATGCATGTAGTGTATTGTTTCTTATTCGCATGGGCTAGTACTATTCCCTTGATCACCATTCCAAATGATGATAGCAATGGCAATGTATCATTCTCTACAGGGTTTACCATGCTCAAGGGATATCCGGTTGTCTCGTGTAACCATTCCCGCGGAGAATGCAACTCGGGCAAGTGAAGCCGTCCGGCTAATCCACAATATCCAGGGCGTGAACATAACAGGGTAGATATGTCCGAAATGTAGCCTGATTCTTTGATTATCAATTCAGCTCACAACGGGCGGTCTACCCCACACCTCCACAATCCCTATACGAACATTCACAATGCAAGTCACCACGTATATCCTGGCCACCGCAATGGCGCTCTCATCTGGTGCATTTGCCATTATGGGTACACATTGTCATGAAGATGTCTTTGTTTTGATCTCACGCTTTGTTTCATCTTTCCTAGATTGCTTATACCTCTGATGGCGTTGGTCACACCCGAACGGTACAGACCGATCTTCAAGTTCCACTGGACTACCCGTATGTATTAAGAAACTGAATCGAGAATGCAGTCACCTCGTTCCAAGACCAGGCAAAGCTGATGACGAATAAAACACTGATAGAGGCCATATTTCCACATTTCAGGCTATCTAGACCTGCTACCTAAACCCGTAAGTCTTAGCCGGAACACTGAAATGGTTATTGCCCCTATCGCTACTAACACGCCATGCCAGAGGTGGTCGAATCATCGACAGTACATACCTCCCTCCTGGTGCTAACGTCCTTGATCCCGCAGTAGAGGCTGCTGTGATTATGTGCTTTGGTTCACAACCACCGGCATGAGCTGGTAGTAGTGCCACGAAGCACACATTGCTTGCGATAGCACCCGGTAAGAGCTGTGATATCGCTCTTGAATAATATTGGTTTGGGGCGTGGGGAGAGAATCATATGTGGATCATATATTATAGTTCATTGTTCAGAGCACTGATGCACTCATGCTTCAGCAAGTATTCCGGAATAGAACTAGCCGTTGGGACGGCAAATACACAAGATTCGTTGAACTCTCTTATTTCGGAAATCGAACGTTGCTTGTGTACTTGGGCATACTATATAGCGTTTCCCCATTAGATCTTATGCAGGCTGCGGAACCACTACATGACAATGTTTTGTCTCCTTATATGCTGATGGGTTTCTTCACGCGGGGAATTCCCCATTCCGAAAGCAGAAGCGCTTTTCCAATTATGCAGGATACCCATAGAAATAATTGGACCCCCTTCTGCAGCTGCTCATCTGTTCCATACACGCCTCCCACTTGTAGGACGTAGTTTGCAATACAACACATTTTTCACTGCATTCCTTTCTTCCTTGCTTCTCCGCATATGAAGCGTTCGCACATATTATGGCCAGCACACCCGGGTTTTAGTATAAAGAGCGGCGCCAATCCCATTATAGATGGGATTTTTCTTATAATCAATTCGCAATCGTGATTGCCCTATTTCTTTACTCTGCCACCAAGGTACGAAGAATTGAACATGCACTTTACCAAGTCTATCCTCGCCATGGCCATGGCGCTCTCATCTAGCGTCGTCGCCGCAGATGATGTCCTTGTATGTGTACTTCACACCCCTAAGTGAAAGAACGTTGATAACCCTTCTTCTCCCTTGTTCTTCCTGATTTCATTGTGCATATCTAACGCATCCAGATCACCTATACTTCCGACGGAGTTGATCATGACCAAGTAGTACCGTTTGATACACTTGTTCCCTTGTATTACCCGTAAGCCTTACATTCCAGAAGATCCGTGACCGTCGATTTAGGACTGATCTACTAACCCTTTCACAGAGGCTGGATCACCACTTTCCAGACAACTAACGATTGTCTCCTCAACGTGTAGGTCTGATCCGTAACGGCTAAATTGCACCTTCTCCTACCTCCCTAACAAACATTGCAATAGGTTCCCACTCGACAAATCTATCTACGTCAGCCCGGGTGCTCATGCCTATAACCCAGGGTTTGATGCCAGAGATATCGAATGCACAATCCTACCGCCATGAACTGGTGATTAGTGGTACTATAGAATCATCTGTCTTGTCACTGCTGGATACCGGCCAATTGCGGGCTTGGGTCGATGTAATGCGTATGCAAGATAGGGAATGTCGGGCTTTATCTAAATGATTAGTAGCAATCATGGCATAACAGATATTACGGAAATTGAACTATCTAGGACACCACCAATCGAGCTGTTGCTAAAACCGTAATATGACATAACATCTGAATAGGGAACTGGCTTGGTTTCGATACCCTATCTACCCCGTATTCAGCGGATTCGCAACATTCAATAGTTGGGCGTTACCGCACGTTCTACTGCCTCGCTGGGAAGGCACCAGCTGTCGGATCCATTGCTAATGACCGTATAGTTTCTATTTAGATTCGTCCTAGCTTCCCGTCCGACCAGTCGCCTCGGTGTAACCGGAAACCTTAACTTCACGTTATCAGCCGACTATCGTACCAAGGCGTACATTCTGCCGGTAGATGATGACAGTAACTGCCGACCAGAAGCAGGCAACGAGCTAGATATTCTCCGATCCTGGAATTGAGTTAGCTGACCGATTCTTCTCATGCAGGGACTGACAAGTGTCTGCCATCGCGAAGAGGACAAACACGAGGACCTCAAAGTGTTGGTAGCGCTGATCGTCGCGATGGACATATGGTGGCTGACGGGATCGGCTACTATCGCACTAGTGCGCCGGATGCCTCTGGATGGCCCGCGTGCACCGATCATCTCCAGTGATGCCGGAAGCTCCTGCTCACTAGGAAATAATAACATTGCAGTGAGATACAGTCGATTGATGATGTATCTGAATCTGTGTCAAGCTATGGCATCACAATTGACATGGTTACATGTCTTCAGAAATCCCCGATAGCATCATACCAAGCCTTCTAAACACTCGATCTAAATCTCAGCCCAGCTGTCGATCACCAACTCAAGCTAACCAAGAGCTACAAATATCAAGCTTCCGGCATCGAGTTCCCCCGACGGCTCCGAGCAATAATCCGGATCGACAAAACAGACAAGAAGAACCATCCGAAAAAAGGCACTTCAGCTGACGAGACTATTGAAGTGTTATCATAGAGGAATACTAAACCTGCCGCCTCTTCAATAGTACTTAAACCCCCTCCAAGTACACTCACCGAATGCAATAAACCACTCAATCCAAAAACAAACCATCTCTACCAATTCAAACCCCGACTCTTGTCTAGCCCCCTACACAACCACAACAAAAACAAAATGTTCTTCAACAAGTCTGTCTTGGCCGCTACTCTGGCCGTTTTCGCCTCCGGCGTTGTCGGCCAGTTGATTAACGTACGTTATTGCTACCTCCTCTGCATCTTGAAGTGACGGAGACAAAGACTAATATGATCCTAATGCATACAGATCGAATACGGCACCAGCGAGTACGACGCCCACACGCAGGAGGTGCAATTGCAAGACTTTGAGAAGCTCGACTATCCGTACGACTTTCTCCCATCTCATCCCCACTTCCAAATACTTCAACCGTCCAGACATATACTAATTAGATTCATGCAGTGGTACTTACTCCTACTTCTCTACCCCCGATATCTGCGATCTATACAGCAACAGCGAGGACGATGCCACCCTCTCAAAGATCAGTGGCAGCAGCGAGATTCCTTCGACGTACATTGAAGCTGTGTACTGCTACACCTATGAGCAGGAGGAAGAGCTGCTGTAAATGAGTTATGTCATGGGTTTCTTGGATATATGAATGGGCATGTTGATCAATGAGTGTGTAAGCTATATGCAGGGGATGGATTAATATAATAATATATATGCTCAGACGTGTTTATGTATATTCGTAAAGTGACTAACAAGATCGCCCACTATTATTCCTCTCTCCAAGAATACCTCGAACTGCTAATTCATACAGAGAAAACTTCATAAAAGTCCCCCAGCTTAATCTCACCCTGACTGCTGATCACCGCCACCTTTTCAATAATATGAAATACCCCCTTCCTCCCCCCTTCTCCTCTTCTAAGTCCCCTCACCGGATGCTATAAGCACACTTAAGCAGAAAAGTAAACCATCTTATTACCTTGCAACCTCCTACCTTTTGTCACACTCTAAAATTCATAATTGAAAGCAATATGTTCTTCAACAAGTCCTCCATTTTGGGCGCTACTCTGGCTACTTTCGCCTCCGAAGTTGCCAGCCAAATCATTGAGATATGTCAATACCCCATCCCCTTCACATCACAAGACGAAAATCACAAAGAAAACCTAGGTAGTATAATGGCTAACATGGGATAACAATTAACAATCCAAACAGATCAAATACGGATCCAGTGCATCCGAGACCAACCAACAGAGGGTTGAATTGGATCAGCTTACTGGAATGGATCGCCCGTATGAGCCCCCCCCTCCCGCCAACATGTCTATGTAAGCGGCAATTACTCTTACTTTCTACTACTGCTACCTGTGATCTGTACGACAGTCCCGAAGACGACCCGGTTCTCAGGGGAGTTAGTGGTAGTCGTGAGATTCCTACGATGTATATCGATGGTGTGTATTGTTATAATGGGGAGGCGCAGGAGTAGTTATTGTCAATGAGAACAGTTATGGGTTGGATTGGTGATGTGTGATGTGTGGGTGGGTGGTTGGTTAATGATAGTCTAGAAAATGCCTGTTTTTACGTAGATTATAGATTGTTCCCGTCTGAATATTTCTCGCTTTGCAAGAAAGGAGATAAATTGGAAAGTAGAATCTCGAAATGGATTATAGACAGACGATAGCAAAATCATATGAATGGCTAGTAGTCTGTATGGGGAATTTATTCCACTCGATAATCTTGTCATGCTATCTGGGAAATCCTTATTATGTCGATTGTTAATTTTTTCATGTTCATATAAACCGTGGAAAATATAAAGGAAGTCTACTCCCTCTCTTCTGTTGCCCGCCCAACATCTATCCCAAATCTCGGGTCGTCCCCAGCCCACCATCCTAACCCGAACACCAACCCAGAGAAATAACCCCTTCGGAGCATTTCCCTATCATCGCACCATTCCGATCCAGCAGGTAATGTATCACTCTTCAGCACATCCGATCCAGCAATCAACGCCCCCGCGCCAGCAATACTGCACGGGTTGAAAGGAAGGACTTCTTTGGTTTGCATAAAGTAGGATGCCACTAGGGTGGAGACGATCATGGCTGCGAGAAAAGCTTCAAGAATACGGGTAGATATGGCACTTTGCGTGAGACGGGTACGATTCGGGTCTACAATTGTGCCAGGGAAGGTAGTTTGGTTGTCACTAGATGGGATTCGTGCGTTGCCATTCATGGACTGGGCCATCAGGGTGCGGTAGAGATGTTCCGTTGCGTTGATGACAGTGGAGTAGTGGGATGGGTCAGTGATGTCAGACAAAGAGAGGGATTTTTGGTCATTGAGCATGGCGGAGAAAAAGGCGTCAAACGCTTGGTCTTGCTTGTTGACAGGCTGGGAAAGGAAGCTTTCGAATTCAAGGGTGGTGGAGATATTTGTTGAAAAGCCTCGGCTGGTTGAGTCATCCGCGGTCGCAGACTGGATTCCTAGACCTGGGAGTGAGAACGAGATTGTCGCGTCGACCTCGTCGATCTGCGGGTTGCAGGTGAAGCCGCGGATCTGTGCTGTGGAATTCCCATCTATCACACCGTAGAATCCCATCAGCGCCTGGCAGTCGCCAAAATCGATTGCATCTTTGAGGTATTTGAAGGCACCGAATGTAGTGCGTGTTGCGTTGGGGTAGTCGGTTGATATGGTGAAGTCAGTGGCGGTGTCGACACCCTGGCATTTTTTGTCGAGCTGCATACGCAGATCGAACATGGAAAAGGAATCCTCGGCAGGCCTGATGTAATAAACAATGTCTTGGGGGAGTGCGTCGCAGGTGAGGTTGGCGCGGAGGGCTGGGAGGGTGACGTTGAGGAGAATCGGACTATCGGATGTGCTGTTAAAAGAGGAGGAATTGGTTTGAACCACCCCCTCCTTATCGGTTAGGGATGCCTCACTGAGCGTAGGGAGAACGAGCTCGTCATACGTCCAAGCGGGGTATGATAGGTTGGCTCCCACTACAAGGGCTCCTGTGAGGCCGAGGCCAGGGTCGGTAGTGGTGGAAGAAAGAGGGCTGATGGTCGTGTTGAAGGTGTCAGTTCGCGCAATGGAAGCAGGGCGTGTGTATACAATGTCCTGTGTTGAATACAGCCCACTGACCGCCACTGTGAGCGCAGGGGCTAGAAGGACGGTAAATCCTGTTGCGCACACGGCCCACTGTTTCCGCTTGATTGCAGTAAAGAATGAGAACAATGTCAGCTTAGACAGGTGATTTTCCATAAGGCTGCCCGGTGCGGTCACGCCACCCTGTCGGAGCTCCAGGTACGGCTGGAATACCATGGCAGAGAAGTGGATGCAGTCGAAGAAGATGCGAACGATAAGGAATATCAGTGCCGGCAAATAGGCCCAGATGTAGTGGATGTAGCCACCAGAGGTGACAGTTCCGAGTCCGTCCTGACGGGCGGATACCTGATATGATGCCTCTAATCCAGCGATAATGAGAAGTGGGAGCACTATGGATATGATCCACCACCAGACCTTTACCGAAATTGGCCGCCACCAGGTCAGTGGGCCAGAGCTGGCTCCAGGACGAGTCGCTTCGGTTGCTTTCTGGTCTTCCTCGATGCCAAATGTTCCCCAGCCATCGTTATCTGTGACACGGGTGTAGAACCTCCCATCTGATAGGTTGGTGGTGAGGTCTTGCGCGTTTTTGCAGCCTGTGAGCCGTTCGGACACTTTGGGGCTGCGGCTCATTATGCTTGCTAGCCCAGCAATTGTGCCAGGATCACGCGACGTGCAGTGAACCGGTCTCCAGAGCCATAGCGCTGCAGTCAGAATAATCAATACTGCTAGGGTAGCTTCCATTATTCGGACTGAGAGCTCCCTAACAACCACTCTCTGGGTATGGGCGGAGTATGTCCCTGCGAAATTCTCGTTTGCAGAATACAGTAGGTATTGCCTTGCTATTTGGGCAGCCATAGCACTGAATGTCGGACGGGAAACCTTTTCCAATATTGATGCATCCAGTAAGTCCTTCATCGTATGGGGAGAGGTCAGATTGGCGACCAGATAGAATGCACTCGGATAGGTGCTGTTCGGGTCCGAAAGGTTGTATTGATAGGTTGTAAGGGCATGAGATGACGTATCCACGTAGTTTAGCGTATCCAAGGTGTCCTCAGCCAGAGATAGGGAAGAAATAAGTCCTGTTCCTAGCTCCATACCCTCGAACCCTGAAATTGTTCCGTTGCTAGTATCGTTGTTATATGATTGGATACTAGTCACACTTTGATTTCCGTAAAGCAGCGAGACGGATCCTTGCGATATGGTGTAGATGGGACTGCAAACGAGCGCCTGGATTTGGGTTCTGTTCTCAGACCAGTGGGCGGCGGTGAAAATCAGGCGTTTCTGATTCAGACTATCCGTTGAATCTGTATCCGTACATGTGGCGCTGAATACATCGGCATAGTATCCCCCAACCGAAGAGGAGCTTTTCTCAAAGCTTGTAAATGGATATTTCGAACAGGAAGGAGTACTGAGTGTCATATTGAGTTCATCATACTCACACATTTGTGTGCTACAACCCGAAGTCCAATTCGCGACAGTGGCCACGTCGCATTGAAGATCAGCAGAGAACATGTCGACTGTTCCTGAAATGACAGCATCGGCACCTGTAAAGAAGTGAGTGACGCGCCTAACTGGTAGTGGAGCAATCAGTCCCACCGAGTTTCTTGCCGGAGGTTGTGAACGGTTGGAAGGCATATTTATCGGTCGATCCCAACGGGTATGACAGGTTAAGCCACCAAGCCCCAGCTACAACCATTGCAGCCGTTCCATCGACCTTGGCACCGTTATACCCAGCACCGTCAAAGCTCGCTTGCGTCGCGAGTGTTGTTGGAACATCCTTCATGTAGACATTTTGCAACATGAACAGACCAGTCGAGACCACGGTGATTAGTTTGATGAGCAGTGTTCCGAGAACGGCAAGAACAACAGCCCAGGATGATTGCTTCAGGGCACGAAACAGGATGACCACGTTCCAGTCAGACACATAATCTAGCAGCAAGGATCGTGTAGCGGGTTTTGGTTCTTGATTCATGAGCTTCCAAGGCATAAGTTGTTTCGTTCGATACTCGACCTGACCCCAGAACCCCGCGACAATCGTAAGAACTACAGAATTAGCATGGTCCATCAGAAGACAATAAGCAAAGAATGTCTTACCTGCGGTCGGGCCATAGGTCCACAGATAATGATATCTTTCCTCACTCGTGCTCAAGCCTTCCTTCCGAGTAGATACTGAATACAACACCTCGATAACAATAATAAAGCATATGAATAGCACCACGAACACAGCCAGAGACACGGAGCGTAATATCACGGGCGACCACATGTGTTGCTGCCGCGCATACCCATGTAGCGAGTCGCCATCGCTCTCACTAGACACGCCCCTCACATCTGTAGATGGCCGTTTCCCGGGTAGGCGCGCAAAGGCTTTTCCTTTCGGCAAGATATTGCCCAACATTCTGGACGAATATAGGCCGTGAGCACCAGCAGCACCACCGCCTGTCAGTTGTTCCCTCAACGGTGTTCAAATCGTCAAAAAGATCTGACGTGGGGGCGGTTCGAGCCTCAGGTATAAGTAAGGACATTTTGGGCAAGGGATTGTCGCAGCGGCACAGCCCACCGTCAATCCCTGCATAGCCTGATCCTTTGCGTGCTTGAGACGCTGACGGCAAGGCTGTACGACCGTGGTTGTTGATGGTGCCCTGAGTGGGATATCCAATACCGTAAAAAATGACCTGTCAAGGTTATCCGGGTGGCTGTAGCATGATTCAGGTGATTGAGAGTATTGTAAACCCTCATGCCGTGAAAGCGATTCAAGCATTCCTACCATGGGTCTCTTGTGGATAAGTGTTGATACGAGGCTGATCCCTGCCGCCAACTCCACTTGGGCGCCACTTCATTCCAAGCAAGCGACTGCTGGTCCAACCAGCTGCTGATTTAGTGCGGAGATGATACGGGACGGGGCTTGGCGAGGTTGATGCATGGCCAAGCACGAGGCTGGAACTTGAAACACATGAAGGATGACCGGGATGTCGAGAAGAAGCCGCTTAATCAGATAGATAATTCTCCCCCAGAATACGGGCCACTGAGTCGCCATTTGACATTTAACTTGGGAAGGAATATTGTAAGCACCATGAGTGCCCACTTAACTAGTAGCAAAGGTCGCCTGTCAGATACTTAGTAGTATCCACCACAAAACCAGTAACCGGCCGGTAGCAGTTGCCAATAATATCCCACAATTAACCCTTATGTTCCAAAGGATCTCTCCCTCTAATGATCGCCTTGCTCTGCGAAAAATACCGTATCGAGCCTCAGTGTCTCTCGCGGACCACCCGCGATGCCGTAGTGCCCAGCACTTGTGCTTCAGGCGCTACACCCAATGCCACTGTAATTGGCATCGCCTTATGCGGCTGCCCAACCGATAGAGCTCGCACAAGCAAGTCTACCTATTCTTAGTCTGTTGCTTTCTCGCGCTGGGAGCGGGACCCTGATGGCAGGGTATATAAGTTAGCGCAGCATGGTGCGTTGAAATGGTCTTCTTGTGACGGATGAATGAATGGGTCGGAAGTTGCTCCGATGGCGGTCGGCGGTGAAACCGATCCGCTTTCGGGGTCCGCTGCCATGCAAGGCAGATGTTTCCATATCTTTGTTTATGGGATATTGCTCGGTTTTATTCAGACATCAGAGAAGGATAGGCATCACGGCAATAGGTACGGTCGGATTGAGCCAAGTAATGAAACTTATTAGTGTGGACGTTAGCGTGTACATTCTTACTATTGATTGAAGTATTAAGAACTATTGATTATCTGACATCGAAAGATGTTCTCTGAGTGTAACTATTGACAAAAAGCCAGTATCAATTGTCTTACAACCTATTCTGTATATACTATATAGCGGTTCTGAAATTGTTCCCCGATGCGATCCCGCCACCCCGCCTCACTTTTGAACCAAGCAAGGAAGTCATATGTGCTGGAACTAAAGACTGCAGGTCATTAAATTCACGGGTCTAATCAGACTACAGAATGCTTGCGTTCGCATGTGGCATCATGTCTTCAAGTTTGGCATGTTTATGCTCGGGAAAACTGAGAAAGAAGGGCAAGGGAGATGAGATATAACCCTTCAAGACAGCTAAGGATAGAGGTAAATTGAACCATACCTTCCATTTTCACATGTGCTTTCGCATGAGTGTCGGGGAGATACAATTGTAAATCACTCTCACATAAGCTACCTCGCCAACTTTCAAGAAAACCTATGGTCATGTCCCTACGCAGCACAATCCCGCAGAGTCCGTTTAACCAGATAAAACCCTGGGGAAGCTCTCATGATTAGCACATCTTACCGATATGGTAGGGCTAAGTTTAATTTCTTCTTCTCTGGTTTCCAGGTGCAGGTCTCATCACACGTCGCACAATGTACAACTAGTGGACTAAATATGCACCTATGTTGCACTATTAGGAATGCATCCTCCGGCTAGATCCGTCCCGATTTCGCAGTTCAAGTGTGCCCTGCTTCTTCCGGGGTATTGAGGAATTTGACTTTGATGTTTCAAGTACACTTCCAGTAAGGAACCCATGATATCAAATGCCCAAGACACAAGTTAAGCTACGTTTTAGGTTGCTGAAGTGCGCAATAGAAGTAATAGAAATCCCCTTACTGACTGGCTGTTTACTCACCGGTTCAACAGGACCAGGAAATCAATTTGCTTTTCCAGTCGACCGGAATCCAGCTAAATGTTGCACAAAGGCGCCAACTAGAGAAATTAATAGACACGATCCGCGAATCGTCTTCTGCAGAATGTTCATGGCCCGATCCAAACTTGATAGCTTCTGACTACGCCCGTACTGCATCTTGGATGCATCGAAAACTCATAGGTGAATTATTCCTTGACCTCAGCGCTGTACAGAGCCACTAGCGCGGACTAATTACAGCTACATCGTCTACTTCTGGCATTGACAAATGTTTCTACGAGGAAGCTACTACAGTAATGGCCCTGAATTCTATCGTTTGAATCATCTCAATTAGTGGAGCGGCCCTGCATTCTTCTACCGATCCAATAGGCACCATGGAACATCCCTACTAGGAGAAATACTCCCAAAGTAAGGCGATAATTTGATGCGAGGTTACATACTCGGAAAAATGTGAGCGCTACTGAAATGGTATAAGCAGAAGATTGATGAGGGGAAGAGCAAACAATGTGACCAAACCAATTAGTTTTGATCCAATGCACTCAACTCGGTGGCTCACTGAGACATCACAGTGATACGACATCCCTGCTAGTTCAAGAAATGATGCGATGTGATGCAGATGACTATCGCCTAGCTAAGAAGCATAAAGCCGTCACTGGAGGGGAAGCAATCGTTCGAGGATGGTAATGACTATCCATATCTTGTCCCCAACATAGGTTCTAAACCTATATAAACCCCCATCACTCATCAGAACCTACCTCAAAACATCCAACAACCAAGCAGCCTCAAGCCAATTCTACGAGCATCCCAATCTCAGCCTTGCAACTCGTCTTCAAAACGAATTCGAGCCAAAACTCCCATCATGCGTTTCACTGCTCTCATCGCAGCCACCATGGCTCTGGCAGGCTTTGCCGCAGCACAGTGCCCAGCTGGTGCCACGGCCAATTGCAAGCCAGGCTTCAACTACTGCGCCTCGACGCTGAATCAACTAGGTAGTCCCCTTATTTCTCGATTACCTGTCCGTGTTCCGGTAATGAAAGCTAATCATATTATTTACTCCTTCAACAGGAGACGCCGACTCGGCCATCCGCGAAGCACTGAGAGCTGCGGACTACAATAGTATAAGGGTCAACAGTCCTGGCACGTGGAACAACCTCGTTTTCCATTGCAATGATGACCATACACTTAAAGTGGAAACTCAGTGCGAGTCTGAGGCTTGGTGTGTGGATGGTGGTGTGGGCAAGAATGATTACTGCAAGAAATCAGAGCTCGGTGGTCTATTCGGTTGGTGATTTCGTTGACATTGTGTCTGGTCTGTCCTTGCGGCTATAACTGAAGGTTTTGGAGCTCTTCAATTGAGGGTGTGGGGATATCCCAATAGCTAGATAAGATTGACAATGGGATCGAGAGATTAATCATTTGTACGTTCGTTTGCCTTCGCTATGTATTGAAGCCATGGATCATTTCCGACTTGGACACTCTTATTTGTTAGTTTTCTACAGTTGTACAAGTAATGTGAAGCTTGTTCTCTCAGAAGTCGCAAGCAAACTAATTCTCTAATAACAATCACAATAGAATTTTCTATCAATTTGGAATGATAATATTCTTTTTAGTCATAAGTTGCAGTGTCATCGATATTTTACTAAGTAGGTAGTAAGCAGCATGTATAACGTTGCAAAGCTCTGCAACAATCCATGTAGCATGTAGTATCCGAGTCATAGTATCATTCAAACTAATTCATTTATCAATAGCAATTGCTCAAACAATCCCAGAACACACCAGCTTCTCTAACTCTCTCCTTGCCATCCTCAACCCGTGTTTGTCTCCAATACCCATAACCAATCAACCTACCTCAACGGACTCCCCCCACCCATCCAAACCACGACCTTCTCAATCATCCCCTCATCATCCATATCAAAGAAATTACAATTAAGCATATCCCTCTGCATCCCATCCTCTGGAATCCCAATATACCGCTGCTGCGTGGCGACTCTCCCCGCCTTCTCATCAACAATCATGCTCACAACCCGGTGCTCCATTGAGGTAGACTGAGTGATAAAATCGTCCAGCATGGCCTGTATGGCATCCCGACCTGTGAAGGTTACGTTGCCTGCCGTGACGACGGTGAAGGTTGCGGTGGGGGAGAAGAGCGACATGGTGGTCGGGAGGTTGCCGGCGTCGATGGAGGTGAAGTAGGTTGTTATTATTTCTGATAGGGTGTTGTGTCCGTTTGTGGTCATTTTGGTGGTTTTCCTTCAGACAGGAGGTTCAAGTTGCTTTGAGAAGATGGATGTATTTGGTTGGAAGTGGGATGTGATGTGGTTATAATGGTGTGTGGTGAGGGCAACGAGGGGGTTGGGGATGAAGAAAGGAGAATATTCCCGAGTAATATTGGCTTCTAGTGGGGTACTACGGTCAGTAGGTTGCTTACTTTACTATATCGGGTGTGCGGGGCAGTGATCGACGGGTAGCTATGTATTGCGAAGCTCTGTATAGTAATATTCAAGTATCTGGCTATAATCATGTACTATCCAGTGATTATTGATAAAGATGTAGGCGAACCTATGTGTGGGCCTCCACCTGGTTAATCATCGCATGCATACGCGCTGCTCCATCCTCCGCAAACATCATATCCTCGACCTCTAGTGAGTCCACAATATGCGCTCGTCCGCGGGCACGCATGTCTGCTTCATAGGTACTAATAGCGCGTTCTACTGCTGCTGCGTCTTCATCTGCTTGTTGGCAGTCACTGCGCTTCTTCGTCTCAGCCATGAGGGCATCGAACAATACCAACGCATCATACATGGCAATGTTTACCCCGTCGCCATTTGGCGTCGCCAGGTGCGCCGCATCTCCGAGCAGAGTGACTCCAGGGACTCGCGTCCACCTCGGGCTTCCATCGAGAAAAATATCCGGGTCAAGTCGGTGCAGTGGCCACGGACGCCAGGGACCCTCTGCTGCTTCGGCGAAGGCGCGGAGGTGCGGCGCCCACTCAGCGTAATACTTCAGTACTGCGGCGCGCGCTTTCTGAGCGTTGGTTATGTCGGCTTCGCCTCCGGCTTTAGTGAAAGTAGACGGGACTTCAAGACCCATATACACGCGGTAGGAGCGGTCGGACATCTGCTGTATGCACAGAGTGCAGCCTCGGGTCATGGCGAGAGAGTTGCCAGCGCCTACCATATCATCTGCTGCTGCGTAATGTGGGTTGCCTGGTGATATGCGGCCTTCAATGAACATTCTTCCAGAGTATTGTGGTTGTGCGGGGGTTATCTAGGAAATTGAATCAGTTGGTGTGATAATGGATATAGATGGATGACTACATACCAGTGGGCGGACCTTACTCCATGCACCGTCAGCGCCGACAACTAGTCTGAAGCCACTCTCCGTTGAACCGTCAGCAAATTGCAGTGTGCAGTCCGCACCATGCCCATGACCGATTTTACTGGTCCGTTCCACCCCCCGGAGTGCACTGGCCCAGCGGATGCGATGTGCGGGTAACGATTTCAGCAGCAACTGTCGCAGCTGCAAGCGGTCAATTTCAGGGGCATCGCGACCCTCACCAAACCTCTTGCGGAAATTGCCACGGAAATCTTGCACTATCAGAGTCGTTGCATCTCGACGGGCCAGCTTCTCGAACTCATCAATTAGGCCTGCTCGCCGCAGTGCTTCTTGGCCTGTGTCCCCGTGGAGATCGAGTGTGCCACCCTGAGATTGCAGTGCGTTTTCTGGCGAGGCATCGCGTTCAAATACAATGTAGTCAATACCAGCTGTCTCGAGGAGACGTGCGAATGTTAGTCCGCATGGACCACCGCCAACAATGGCTATCGGGGCAGGCTTTCTGGTGGCGATGGTGCGGGCTGCGGGAGAGTGGTGTGGTTTGAAAAATGTCAGTGAGGAGAAGGGTTTTCGTATGCTTGTAGCTTGTGAGAGTAATCGGGGCATTGCGAAGATTATGTTCTATTATTGACTGTGAACAAGAGTCGACATACGGCAGAGCTGAGCCGTTATATGAGAACCTTCGGATGGTAGTAAAACCCGAGATTGACCAACAGCGGGTGCCAGATCTCGGGCGTTACAAAGTTCCGAGGCCAGAACATTACTATAACCACTTTCAAAGGCGGGAACCATGGGCGATTGGAAACTCAATTCACATGTGGATAGGATGTATAGCTCCACCAGAACTCTTTTTTCTCAAGGACTCGCGATCGTTAATAGCACAAGAGCTGTTTCGCGGAAGCTGCACCACAGAGTTGACAATTCTCAACCTCAAGATAGTAGGGTTCCATAGGACTTTTCTACTAATAGGAAGTGATTCACAGAGCCTGCATATGTCTGCAAACGTTGTTTCGATAACAGGGGTGATCCAAATTCGACGTCTACGAGAAACGGACATTCTTTCGAGATCGTTGACAGGTATCAGGGAAGCTACTAGGATGCAGGGTCCAATCTGTAAAGCCACGAGGAATATATTAATCTGGTGGCTTGAGAAGGAGTACGCTAAGGACAGCGAGAATAGTGGTAGACAGCCGACACATGGCTTTCCCCTGGTTAACTAGGCCATGGTAGGCTAATGAACAACTAAAGATCCAGCCCAGGAACAGCTTCCTAGTCTCTTCCTGACACTAATTAGCGGCGGAACCAGCCCACCTCTATTTATACAATTGACATCTGCTCGTCGGCCGAGATAGCATCAAGCTTATCGCCGATCGCGTGCTAGCGGGGTAACCTGGCTTTCGTCGAATACTTTCCCCAGCATAGCATAGACTACCTCCCCTCATTGATTAACAGTTACTTAACAAGGATGTTATATGATGACTCACATCAGGTGTAGCTGCCGATAAGGTACTCAGACTGATGCTGCCTGATAAGCTCGGCTTATCTGTTCCATTTCTTTGCTCCTTCTCATCCCACTTCAATTGTTCGTCTGGTCCACACCCAATACACTCTTCTTGATGGTTATGGCTTCTGATGAGACTACCCGGTTACTTCCACGTCCCGAAGACGGGATTTCACCCGGTCGGGAGGATAATGAGACAACTGGAAGCATTTCTCGGGGTACCGGACTGGCCATCTTCATCGCATACCTAGGTATTCCTGCCCACTCCCTGGATTAAGCAATCGCTGACACAAATAGGTGCCTTCCTGGCCAGCACAGATGAATCTCTCGTCATTGCGACTTACGATATCATTGCTTCCGAGTTCCATGAGCTATCAAAAGCATCATGGCTGGTGACGGGATACAATTTGGGCTATTGCATTGCCTTGCCAGTTGTAAGTAGTGCTACCCGGCAATGAAGGTTTCCAGTTCTGACGGACGCAGTACGGTACCCTCGCAGACACCTTGGGACGCCAGAGGTCGATGCTTCTGGGATACCTAGTATTCGCCCTTGGCTGTCTGATCAGGTCGGTGGGACTTCAGCTGTAGCGTTCATCATTCCTCTGACTTCAGCAGTTCCCTCAGCAATTCAATGAACCAATTGATAGCCGGACGGATCATCAGCGGCGTGGGGTCTTCTGGCATGGTGGTCATGATTTCCATCATCATAACTGGTGCGACGCTGTGCTGTCTTCATTCCACGAGGAAGCTAATGGGTATAGATCTGGCGGCGCCCAGCGAGGTCGCATTATTGCGCAGCTACACCAATGTTGTGAACATGCTCGGAAGGGGTGTCGGAGCTCCGCTGGGACGTGTTATAGTGAACTCACTAGGTTGGAGATGGTAAGAGATTCTGTCTAGTTCATTTGAGTACGGCTAATAGCACAGGGCTTTCACCGGTCGGCTACCTCTTATTGTTCTGTGTCTGTTTCTATCGCGGGTGCAGTTCCCTACAAAGCCTCGCGCATCCACTCCCGCCGCGGAGACATCCAAGATGGAAAAGCTGAGAAGTCTGGATTATTTCGGCATTTTCAGTTTCGCAGCTGCGGTTTTTACCCTACTATTAGCTTTGACGACAGCTGGAACACTTGACGGAAAGCTCTCCACAGTGTACGCTCTGCTTGGGGTGTGCGCATTAGCTACCGTGGCTTTTGTCTGCCATGAATGTCTATGGGCAACAAAGCCCCTGGTACCGTTACGACTGGTCACCAAGGGTGTCGGGCAGTATTGGCTGGTGCAAGTAGTGTTGTTTAGCGGACGATGCGGAGTAGGTCGTAACGAGCCCTGTGCTGCTGCAATTTACTGACAAGCCAAGGTCACCACCACCATCACACAATACCTGACACAAGTGAGGCAAATGTAGGAGGAAGGGGCAACTTTCTTCCTCGTTCTGAGCACCATGGCTCTGGCGATGGGTTCGATCATTTCGGGGTTCTCCATCAAACGGTCAGTCACAGTATATTTCTCCAAGTGCTCATGCTGATTCTTTAGGACGAAACGGTACAAGAAGATGAGCCTCGGTTCCGCCGCGATTAGCATAGTTGCATCCACTCTGCTATTCTTCTCGTGGCATTTCGACCGCCCCGTCTGGGAAACGCTCCTCGTCATTCCGATGAGCACTCCCATCGGTATCATCATATCGGGCGAGTTTATTGGCATGACCGGTCGTGCACCACCGGAAGATATGGCCTCGTGTGTAGGGGCATACTATCTCAGCCAACAGCTGGGGGTCATTCTTGGCGGATCCATCGCACCGTTGCTGGTGCGGATGGGATTTATGCAGGATATTGCTGGAAAGTTCGGGCCGAGAACCCCAGAAGTACGTTTTGAAGTGTAGTGAATTGTCGCAGTCTAACAGAAGTAGATTGCCCGCCAAGTTCTGAGTGACGCCCGCTATGTTGATACGCTGCCGGAGGGTATGCAGGCGATTGTCCGAACGAGTCTGCAGTACGGATATCAGTTCATTCCAGGTATGTATGACATTCCCTGTGCGGACATTCGCTAATGAGCTAGTTTTTGCCACGGTGACTGCGGCGTTGTGTTTGCCTAGCTGGATCCTTACGCCGGAGGAGAGGCTAGATTAAAATTATCCATACCGGCATGGCTGGCGGCGACGCAACGGTCGGAAATTCGAACAGATTCAGAACATCATTGAGAGTTGATTTCTTCGCTTGCTGTATCGTACATACATTCATGTATTCGTCTCTATTCATGCATATCCATACCAGTTTAGTATATTTGAGGTCTTCATGTCCGCGGAAGGATTAGAAGACCCCCTCAGTGAAGTCGACCACTTGGGACTTTTCGATCAGACCATCCAGGGTCTTGACGAAGCCTAGATGCGCGGGGTCTTTGGTGAGATAATACTCTCTGTCCTGATCGGACTCAAACTCCATGACGAATACATGGGTGATTCCATTCTAGCCGTTTATTAGCGTCGATTGTTCAATCCAACGACTTCGGCAGAGATGACCTACATTGTTACCCTCCGGCGAATCCTGCTTTCCCGCTTTGAATGACTTGATGTAGGGCTGCTGAGTGGTAGGATGTAGACACTTCTCTTTCAGGGAGACGAGATGAGCGCATGTCTAGCCAGAAAACAGTCAGTCAGTTCATCACTTGCTGTGGTGTGATTTGGAGATGACGTAAGGAATGCTGACTCACCTCCTGGACCTTTTCGGGGGCGAGAGAGGCTTTGAACTGGAATTGGACGATGTGAGTGATCATATTGAAGTACGAGGGGTGTGATCAACAATAGTGAGGCGGACTTCGGGGAAGACGTTCCTTGTTGGGATAGGAAGGTGGTGGTGATGCAGTGAAGCTGCAGTAGTGCTGCGGAGGGGGAAAAGGACTGAGCAGCAACACCCTGACTGACACACCAAGACGTCAGTGCCAGTGGGACATGGGATCAGTCAGCAGGAGGGTCAGTCAGGTCACAGGATATCTTCATTATTCTTCACCCTAATATACAGTAAACAGTCAACACATATTGAATGCCGAGTGTACTCCATACGATGTACTTCATCCCAGCCAGACGGGGATCCCGGGCGGCACTTTTTTCCAATGATGAAGCTGCGACCGACGACTGGGATGACATTTCCACATTTCCATTCCCCGCCAGTCAGCCACCCCTCGTACTAATGATGATTAGATTGCAGAGGACTACTGCAGTTACTTCCGGGCACCAAGGCATTGCGCTGTGACCGTGACATTGTCACACCAGTCATGATTGGCAACGGCCACGCGGCGTCGGGGACCATTTCAATGCCAGTCGGGGATTGTCCAGGGACTCGGATTCGGGATCCTCATTTTAAACAGACGGGGACCCGGAGCCACTCCCCCACATGATTCCAAGGGGGGTAGAAGAAGGAGTCTAGAATAGACGCCGTCGATAGTCGCCGACCGGGTGGGAGGTTAATTTGCTTTGTGTCACTGTGGCACCGGACCACTCGCCGACAATTAATTGTGGAGGAAATGCATTGATTAGATGTGCCTGTCGAGGGTTAGTCAAGTGAAGCCCGAGATCATGCATACTCGGGAACCACCCAGCGAACATCTCCGCCAGTGCCCTGCAGCCAACCAACACCCAAACACAAATTGTCGATCGACAAGGTGATGGTGTGATGAGTGACATCCCAACACACCGGGTTTAGGCGGGTGATCCAGTTTCTCGGGTCCTTTGCTTCAGTCGGGGAACACCTGCATCAAATAAATACACCTCTGTTGGACTAAAAGTACACCGGCGACCCGCCCTATCTTGCAGCGGCCTCTCCACACTAGGCCTTGCTCGGGCGAACCCCTCGAGTTCTGTATGGCTTGTGCCTGGCAGTGGCTAGCTGGTACAATGTAGCCCTGTTCACATTATACAAATTCACTGGGAATTGATCACCGACTGCATGCTGAGTCGATTGGAGTGCCACTGCCAACATACTCCTTGAATGTAGGCGAAGTCTGCAAATGATCAGGGCTGGTGATGGTCCCCGAACCTCGGGGATCTCGGCATGCAGGCCTGATTCCAGAACTCGGGAATCAGCCTCGATGGAGTCTGATCATTCCATGCCACCAACCCTCCATACATTGTAAATAATATATCCTTCAATGGCCTTCCTTTACCCTGCACTTGGCTTGTGCATGCACACTCATCATCATGGCCGACCACCGACCCTCTCCCCTCGCCTGTATACCCTGTCGTCGTCGCCATGTCAAATGCGACGCTCGCATGCCCATCTGCACTCGCTGCCACAATAGTAACAGTGACTGTCGCTATGTTCGTTCACGGCGCGGCTTGCGGAACAGATCTAGTCCTGATCCACCCCCAGGCGATGTCGATCTCCTCCCAGACTTTACCACTTGGCTCAACAGCACCATTGACCTAGATGTATGCGCTCTCAATCCAGTAACCCGGAAGTCATACTGACCAACCCAGCCAGAGTTCCTCAGCCTGGACCCCAACATCGACCTCAACGATGTACATTCCGATCCTATCCAGGACCTGCCTCCATCGCCACCAGCATACCCACCCGCAGTGGCCGAGTCTGAACCCCTCGCCCACGATGCCATGATCCAGCTCTACTACCACCACTTTCATCGCTCGCATCCCATCCTCCTGCCGCGGCGCAGTCTCGCCTCCTCACTCTGCCAGCACATCCCAACGTACATCACACATATCATGCGCTACATCGGCAGCCACTACTATCCCCAGCCCGGATTCAGCGATGCGTTCCGAGCACCCGCCTACACGGCCCTTTCCGCCCCAAACGACGGATTCAAAGTCCAGGGACTACTTCTCCTCGCCATCCTCGAGCATTCCTACGGACATGAAGAGACCGCCCGGAAACTCCTCAAAGAGGCCATCCAATTAGCATGCCACCTCGACATGACCAGTCCCTCGTTCCCACGTAGCCACTCCCGCGGGAGTCCCATCCTCGAAGAAAGCTGGCGACGCACCTACTGGGAACTCGTCGTCGTGGAAGGGCTCATATCCGCATTTGGTGGCGGGCCCATCCTGCCCAGCTACAAATGGATCAACGACGAGATGCAGTTACCTTGCGACGAAAAGGCATACAATTTCGAGGTAAATTCATCCCCCACATAACCAATGAATCAACCAACGATTGTATTCAAACTAACATCCCACAAGCAACTCAAACCCCCAAAGCCATCCGCCACCCTCTCCACTCTCCCCAATTTCGACCTCCACCACATATCCCCCTTCACCCACCGCATCCTCGCAACGCAAGACCTCCGCGCCGTCCTGCAAGTAACACAATCCCTCGACCCAGACACTGAACTCCAAACCGAGACATTAGACGCCCGTCTCGCCACTTCCCTAATGCGCCTCCCCTCCTCCCTCCCAGAACCCGACACCGCCACCGTCGACGAAATGGTTTTTCAAACACAAATGATAACATACCTGTATGCCATCCCCATCCCCCCCATCCAATCCAACATTATAAAAGACGAGGCTAAACAGCAAAAATAGAAGCCTAATCTACCTCCACCACCCTCACTCCACCATCCGCCTCTCCTCATACCACCCCACTACCACTACCAGCACCCTCGCCTCCTCATCAACAACAACTACATCATCATCCTGCACCCGTCTCCGCACCTTCCAAACCCTCCCCCTATCCACAACAACAACACACATCCCCCACCACGACTCCCCCGCATCCAACACCCACTCCCAGAAACTCCTCCGCGCCGCAGACCTCCTCTCGAACCTGGCCACCCTCCCAAGTACCGTCCTCTCCCGAACGCCGTTCTTCACCTGTGCGCTGGCCATCGCGGCAGTGGTCCATGTCGCCGCGTTAGCGGGTGGACCTCCATCGTCGTTGGCGATCAAGCATGAGGATGGGACGGGGGCGGGGCGGGAACAGTCGCTCAAAGCGAGGATCGAGTTGGGGGTTGGGGCCTTGCAGGTGCTGGGTAGGGCGTGGCCGTTGGCGAGGAGGGTGAGGGGGGAGATGGTGGATGTTTACCGGGGGAGGTGTTGATCTTATCCCATTTATTCCTACCAATTAGTCTTGGTTATGTTATGGTTGGGTGCGTGGGGATCTTGAGGGCGGGGGTGGAAGATTGTATATAGAAAGTATGATTGGTAGCTATGATGATCAAGTACACGATAGATATATACATAGACGAACCATTTGAATAGTCTTTTATTTCCTTTATTCCAAATTTGTGTGAGTGTGATGGATGTACGTCAGGATATGTTGAGTTACAGCTGTCATGATCCATCCCTTAAAGGGACTCGGGAACGTCGGAAGAGGAAGTCATAGATATGGTCATAATAAGACAGACCACCACTGAATGAAGTGGATATCCTGACCAATAGTTCAACCCATGGCACCGACCATCTTATTCTCAACCCGTGGTTCACGTATCCCCAACCTAGTCCTTGGTCTCTTCTAACACAATCCCCCGACAGCAATAATCAAATTGCCCACACCAACTGAAAGATATCTGCTTCGATCCTATCTCCATCAAGGCAGATATTTAATGCCTGCAAGTCGCTAGCTCGAAGTCTCGGCAATGGTAAGTAGCCATGGCTACAAATGAACTATCCCTCTGCCTCATCCTTGGTCTGGGTATAGCAAAGGTAACAACAAGCAGCCCGATCCATATTTCGCTTTGGCACAGCTCAAGGACCTCGTAGCCTGGTACTCGAGCAATTGACCTTATCCAATGGTTCGTATTGGGGATAGATTGAATGTCGGTTCTGAAAGGATACCGGATTGTGGACACATTGATAACAGAGAGGATGCACTCGCGTGTGTCGAGGACATCACTGCCGCGAATGGGACAGTGACGTTGTGATTGGTGTATATAGACGTTTCCGGCTGCGGATTCGCACTGCCGTAGGCTTTCTGCTGATCTCCTAGATCTCGTAGGCTGGTACTTGTCCCTTACCGGTGGCGTGGAACTGAGCGTTCAACGCCGCCTGTACTTCGTTGACCTTACCTATCGCTTCTCCGTCGAAGACATAGTTGTGGGGGCCTTCGCCGCCCGTGTCTCCGAATTTCTCCACGGTACCGGGGAGGGTGTTTGTATTTCTCATTGAAGCCAGTGTCACGAGCGGGATAGTGTGACTGGCTGTATGCATTTGTTGATAGACCGATACTTGTAAAATTGTTGTGAAGTCGTAGGTCCAGATGAGAATATCCTCCCAGTAAAGTCATATTCACGACAATTCAACAGAGGAGAGTCGAGAGCATCTGCTGGTCATCGTCATGATGCTAGGTATCATCTCTTCTTTTCTTCTGATTGGAGTATGAGTTAATGGTTGAGACTTTTGTCCCTTGGATAGTTCTTGATGAAAGCACTTATTTTGCAGACCGTGAAGGGCTGTTTCTTCTCCTCATGGCTGTTGTCACAATCTCATTGTTGCCATTCTTGTAGGTAATATCGCTTGCTTTCGCAACACTCCTCAGCCACCTCCTTCGTTTCCTTAATCCTCCTTTCCATCAGTATCGATTTCGCCTACCATGGAGGATAGGTAAGCACGCAATTATGTTGCTTCCTGACTCTCGCATTCCCCATTCTGTGGGGCGTTATCAAGCAGGGAAGACAAACATTGCCATCATCTCATAATCGTTCAGAAGGAACCCATGTTTGGTGTGGAAGACATGTTTGGGATGAGATGTTATGTGTATCATAAACACCCTGTTACTTTCTTCCCATTTGAATTCCTGTCATGACCGTGTTGGTACTTTTCATCTCTATGC